GTTGAAACCGGCGGGGTTCGATGGTAGGGTCCCCCCGAGTGAGGTGTTCATTTTCGACGTCGACCGCAGCCGCGTCGCTCGAACGTCGAAGCCGAATTTTGTCATGGAGACGTGACGCACGTGGCCTGCCGTCGTTTGGCAACGCTCGGGTCGGATCTCTCTTCCCCGGCTTAAAGCGAGCAGGGAGCGCTGCGTTCATCGTCTCCATGGGCAGCCCCGAGGCAGTGGCGGAAATTCCAGCAAACCAGCCATGCCCTCCCTCCCAAGAGTGTTGACACGTGCCACTTGGCGCGGGCAAAGGGTGAGACTCTAGTCTGCGATGTACAAGGCCAGGAAAATTTTAACACTATGAAATAAAATACCGAATCGGAACATCCACTGCAAGAGCAATGTTTGATCTGTGAATGTATGTTGAACTTCGTTCGCACCGTATGTAGCCAACCTTGCTACGTACAGGGCGAGATGCTTTTAAGAGTATTTGTGTCTGCTATAAATGTCCACGCGATAAGCCACTTAATTGGGCTCGCATGTGTGATAGATAAGTCGCATCTGAAAATGAGCTATGAAGCTCAAGTGGGCCTTACCTGGTCAAATACAAATAAAGTTTACAGTTCAGTTTTAGCTGTTATTTACAGAGGTGGGGGCTAAAAGGAGCAAATTTCCCTCCCGAGACTTGCACAAAACACAGGGCCGCCAGAACCAGGCCCCGAGAAAAGGGGGGATGGATGAAGTGGGCCACGGACCACCAAATGTCCCTCCGGCCCTCTCAGGTTCGCTCTCCTGAGCGGTGGATCGCTGTTACGGTGGCGCCCACACATCAACTCACTGGCCTGCCCGTCCTTAGAGGGAGGTGGGAGCCGGTCCGACACACAACGTCGCTCTTGAATAATGGACGGGTCCCCACCTGACATTTGGCCCAGACCTCCAGGGATCGGGACATCGAGGGAATCTCTGGGCCACGTGACAAGAGGCATCGCCCACGTGGACATGGAACGAGGACAATGGAGCACAATATCACAATGGCAAAGTGCGGAGAGATGCGCGCTTTAGATTGTATGTACGTGGAGCTTCTTCCGCCACCGTACGGAGCCAACCGTACGAATCGGAGGGTGTGGAGGAAGAACAACAAACTAAACACACAAAAAGCAGTTCTAGAGAAATGAGTTTTCAATCTAGATTTAAAAGTGCACAGCTCTCAATAATAATACAGAGATTAAACTCGCAGGAAAGGGGGGCAGCGTGGATGAGAGACCACAAACAGATTAAAAGACAATGTAACCCGATTTAAAGCTTTCGTGACTGCAGGGATTCATCTTCTTGGTTCTTTCGGTAAAGTCACGTAGAATGGAAATTATAAAATAATAAAAATAAAACATAATAAAATAATTCTCACGACATTTCGGCCACAACGAGACAGCGTCTCCCCGACAGACCTGTTCTTCACCTGAGGACGGCTGCTTGCGTTGTGGCCGAAACGTCATGAGAATTATTTTATTATGTTTTATTTTTATTATTTTATTATTTCCATTCTACGTGACTTTACCGAAAGAACCAAGAAGACAATGTAGCCCGTCAAAGAGAAGGAAATGGCTTTGGGTTAGGTCGAACGCGTCGCCACTCGGACGGGATGGAGTGGCAAGCCAAAGTCGGTGACCGCGTGTCCCAGAGAGAGAGGGACAGAGACAGGTGACGTCCTCCACCGCTGGGATGGAGAGACGGGGTCGGGCTCGGGGGAAGAAGGCACGTGGTGGACTTAGAATGTCGCAGGATTCGCGAGGGAGCGATGGAGAGGATAAGATCGCAACGACTTGATGGCAGCGTTGGTGTACGGTGTTTTTTCTGCAATATTTTGCTGTCTTTTCTTGGATTTTCTATTTGCACTCAGTCACATATTCACTTTAAGATGTTTTTTGTTCATGTTTTTGTTTTTGTTTGTTGCGGTTGCACCCGATTCAAGAGCCGAATGGCTCACAGGGCTATACCTAATACATGAACTTGAAATGCACTTGAAATGAACTTGAACTTGACAGAAGGGGTTGGACGGGATGCGCCAGTGCAGCCATTAGCACAGCGCACTGCAAATCCAGCAAACCCGAGTTCCGTTCCAGGGCCATGACCAGCTGCCCCCTGCTTCGCCAACTCGCATTGACCAGCGTGGGGAGGTATAGTCAAACTAGGCGAGGGGCCGTCCGTCCATCAGTGGATTGACTAAATGGCTGTAATGTAAACATAGAAGCTCACGGGAACCTGACAACTCCACGCATGTGCCTCGGCTTCCTGAAGTCAAACATCGCACGCACCGGATGTTCGTCGCGACGATCATAGCACAACAACGATCATAGCACAACAACGATCATAGCACAACAACGATCATAGCACAACGATCATAGCACAACAACGATCATAGCACAACAACGACAACGACGACGACATGAAGGGCACCGATCGGAACACAACCAACACCTCACCCCCCTCCCACCACCAACCCCTGGCGGATCAGCGATGATCTGAACAACTTCCCACACACAACGGCTCGGATCGAGACCTCGGCCGGTTTGAAATCGGCACGGTGCAGAGTCTGCGTGACGCGAATGTCAGCAGTGAGACGGCGTGGGAACAACTTGTGGGCTCACCACCACCACCACCAGCAGCTTCGGCAGTGCTCGGCTTCCACACCACACAGATCATCAACTGGGTGGGTGGGTGAGTGGGTGGATGGGCGAGTGGGTAGGTGGGTGGGTGAGTGAGTGAGCGGGAGAGTGAGTGAGTGAATGGGAGAGTGAGTGGGTGAGTGGGTGAGTGAGTGGGTGAGTGGGTGAGTGAGTGGGTGAGTGAGTGGGTGGGTGAGTGGGTGGGTGGGTGAGTGGGTGGGTGGGTGGGTGAGTGAGTGAGCGGGAGAGTGAGTGAGTGGGAGAGTGAGTGGGTGAGTGAGTGAGTGAGTGGGTGGGTGAGTGAGTGGGTGAGTGAGTGGGTTGATAGGTGAGTAAGTGGATGAGTAGATGGGTGAATGAGTGTGTGGGTGGGTGAGTGTGTGAGTGGGTGGGTGAGTGTGTGGGTGAGTGATTGAGTGGGTGAGTGGGTGGGTGGGTGAGTGAGTGAGTGAGTGGGTGAGTGAGTGGGTTGATAGGTGAGTAAGTGGATGAGTATATGGGTGGATGAGTGTGTGGGTGGGTGAGTGTATGAGTGGGTGGGTGAGTGAGTGAATGTTTGAGTGAGTGATGAATGAATCTGCAATTCACCAACTATCAAAGCAATGAAATTGGCAAAATCAATCACAAGTGAGGCTACAAGAAAAAACTAAATAGTGTACAACGTTTGCCATCTCGTGGAGGTATTTGGAATAATAAAACTTCCCTGAAGGCTAAGCATTGTTGTCCTTAAATCTTGACTTAAAAAGCTTTTGTGACTGCAGGAATTCATATTATTTGGGTATTTCGGTAAAGTCACGTAGGGAGAAAATAAAATAAGATAGATCATGTTTTAAAAGGTTTGAAATGGGTGTAGCTCAAGGGTTATAAGGAAGTGGCCGGTCTGGTGATGTTAATGTGAGAAATTAGCATGTAACTGGGTACGTACCCAGTTACATGCTAATTTCCGTACCCAGTTACATGCTAATTTCTCACATTAACATCACCAGACCCAGCCACTTCTTTATGACCCTTGGGCTACACCCATTTCACCCCACCTGATGATGGACGTTTGTGTTGCGCCCGAAACGTCGTGATCTATTTTTTTTTTCAACCCACGTGACTTTACCGAAATAACCAAAGAGTATGGATTCGTGCAGTCACGAAAGCTTCAAATCAAGATTGAGACAGTTCAACAACATTGGCTCAAGCGATCCCGGCTCTGCTGATGAGCCGCTGAATGCCGAAACCGATGCCAGAGGTTTGCGTTTGTGCCGAACCAATGCTGCTGGAATTCGGCTCACCCAGAGAAAGGCCAAAATGTGACCTTTTTTTGCCAGGATCAAAGTATAAAAACATAAGAAGAGGTTTTACCCTTCTCTGCCAATAAAACAGTTGTGTTAAGATGTTCAAACACCAAATAGAAACCTTTTGCAAGGACTCAAGTCTGCATTAACCACACATAAATTTCGATTTAAAGCTTTCGTGACTGCAGGGATTCATATTATTGGTTCTTTCGGTAAAGTCACGTAGAAGGGAAATAATAAAATAATGAAAATTAAACAATAAAATACAATTCTCACGACGTTTCGGCCACTACGCAAGAAGAAGAAACAGAGCTGTTAGAAAGACAGCGTTCCATTAGGACGCTGTCTTTCCGACAGCTGTTTCTTCACCTGAGGACGGCTGCTTGCGTTGTGGCCGAAACGTCGTGAGAATTTTATTTTGTTTTATTTTTATTATTTTATTATTTCCCTTCTACATGACTTTACCGAAAGAACTAAGCATATAACCTTTCAAAGGGTTTCTATTCGGTGTTTGAACGTCTTAACACCTCCTGTTTTATTGCCAGAAAGGGTAAAACAACATTCTTATTTTTTTCACAGGAAAGCCATTTGGCTGACGGGATGTGTAAAAATACTTTAATATCTTTTTTTGATTGTGGAGGGACAGATGTGGGAAGGTGGCCCACGGTCTGCGTATATAATTTTTGGCGAGTCTAACGCGTGCTCGCAAGAGTTTTAAAAGCGCTTAAGTTTGTAGAAACTAACTTTCATCTCCTGATTAGGACCAACAACAAATGACGTCACCCACATAGTGTAAGCGATTACGTCACCAACACAGCTGGGCGAGACGAATCAGACGACACAGATGACGTCACCCGCGCACAAGTACAGTCCCCGGATGACGTCACCAAACAAAACACCGAGCTGGGTGACGTCACCTACCACAACACAGCGTTGGACGACGTCATCTCAGCCCCGACGCGCACATGACGTCACCCACGATCATTGGCACCGTCCAATGGGTGGGCGCGATGGTACGCGCCCCCCCCCTGACCCCCCGCGTCACGTGCTTCGAGGGGGTGGTGGGGCAGTAGCAGCAGTCGTCGGAGAGGGCAGCAGCAGCAGCAGGGAGAGGCCATCAGTGAGAGGGCAGCAACAGCAGCAGGGAGAGGCCATCAGTGAGAGGGCAGCAACAGCAGCAGGGAGAGGCCATCAGTGAGAGGGCAGCAGCAGCAGGGAGAGGCCATCAGTGAGAGGGCAGCAACAGCAGCAGCAGCAGGAGGAGAGGAGCAGCAGGAGCCGCGCGTCGCTCCTGGGCCACCGCCACCACCGCCGCGAGTTCGCGCCGATTATAGAGCAGCGATCGCGACGGCGGCGTCGTCCACCGGCCCCGAGCCATGTCCATCCAGTACGCCGAGGAGGAGCCCCTGGGGGGCAGCTTCAACGTGGTCTCCTCCTTCCCCAAGGACTTCGGGTACGGCCCCGAGGAGAGCGGAGGATGCGCGGACGAGGACGAGGGCGCGGGCCGCGGCGGAGGCGGCGGCGGCGGCGGCGACGACGACGACGATGACGGCGGCGGCGACTCGAAGCCTCGAATCTTGCTGATGGGGCTCCGGCGCTCGGGGAAGTCGTCCATCCAGAAGGTGGTCTTCCACAAGATGTCGCCCAACGAGACGCTCTTCCTCGAGTCCACCAACAAGATCTACAAGGACGACATCTCCAACAGCTCGTTCGTCAACTTCCAGATCTGGGACTTCCCGGGGCAGATCGATTTCTTCGACCCGACGACCTTTTGACTCCGAGATGATCTTCAGCGGCACCGGGGCGCTCATCTTTGTCATCGACGCGCAGGTTCAACCCCCTCCCTGCCCCCCCCCCCTGCCCCCTCGTCCTGCCCCCCCCTCGTCCTGCCCCCCCCCCCCTCGTCCTGCCCCCCCCCCCTCGTCCTGCCCCCCCCTCGTCCTGCCCCCCCCCCCCCTCGTCCTGCCCCCCCCCCCTCGTCCTGCCCCCCCCCCTCGTCCTGCCCGGGCTTCGGGATCCTGAGACCAGGGCTCGTGATGATGCTGAGACCAGGGCTCGTGACCCCCCCAGACCCCAGGGCTCATGATCCCCCCCCCCAGACCCCAGAGCTCGTGACCCCCCCCCCCCCCCAGACCCCAGGGCTCATGATCCCCCCCAGACCCCAGGGCTCATGATCCCCCCCCCCCCCAGACCCCAGGGCTCATGATCCCCCCCCCAGACCCCAGAGCTCGTGACCCCCCCCCAGACCCCAGAGCTCGTGACCCCCCCCCAGACCCCAGGGTTCATGATCCCCCCCCCCCAGACCCCAGGGCTCATGATCCCCCCCAGACCCCAGGGCTCATGATCCCCCAGGGCTCATGATCCCCCCCAGATCCCAGGGCTCATGATCCCCCCCCAGGGCTCATGATCCCCCCCCCCCAGGGCTCATGATCCCCCCCAGACCCCAGGGCTCATGATCCCCCCCCAGACCCCAGGGCTCATGATCCCCCCCAGATCCCAGAGCTCATGATCCCCCCCCAGGGCTCATGATCCCCCCCAGACCCCAGACCTCGTGATCCTGGTTTCTGAGACCAGGGCTCAGGCTAAGCCTCTGGGCTGGAACCCGACTAAAGCTCACGCCAGAGCAAGGATTGGCCTAAGCTCTAGAAGAGACTGGTTCTAAACGCAAGGCCTAACCCAACTCTACATGTAACTATATAACACTCAACTATCAGCCTGATTCTTAGCCTAAAGCTCGGGGGAAACCTCGGAGCTGACGGTAACACGCGGCTCGGCTCTACGCCGAAATCTCGAGGCTTGAACCCCCAAGGCCCGAACTACGACGGAGGCTAAAACCGACTCGTACACAATCACAGCCAAATGTAAACATCTGCAGTGACTTGTAACAGCGCAGACTAACTAACAGCAAGGCCTGTATGCCTGAGGCCAAGTCTGTCGCCAACTCCTGTAGCCCAGCCAAATTTTAAGGTTTAGGCCGAAGCCCATCTTTTAGTACAGTATGTCCATATCCGTAACCCTTAAGCCAGACTCTTTAAGACTAAACCTATTACCCTAACCTGAACTTTAAGCGTAGGCCTAACACTTAAGCATAGGACACATGGACGAAGCTTAAAACCATGAGCCTCAAATTAAAACCTTAAGCTCAGCTGTAAGCGTAATAATGATAATTGTAAGCCTAACCGATGGTTTAAGCATGGTCACTCGAACTGCATCCAATCTTGTCAAGATCACAGAAGCAAAGCAGATGTGTTGAGCCTTGATTACTGCTTGTGCTGCACCTTCCTCGGTATTGTTCAGAGGAAGGTGCAGCAAAAAAAGGTGAAGTATGGTCAAAAGGCTGCCACGTGTGGGAAGGCCCCCGATGCAGCGGTGCCTTGATAACAGGACAATGCAGTTACACACAGAAGCTAACTTAAAGCGTAAACACAATAAACCCTGAGCCTTATAAATGTGTCCAAACCCACCCCTAGACGACCCGTCAACTCCTAACCCTACCGCTAGTCGTGTTCCAGCAAAGACAAAGCTCCCCCGTGTAGCCTGTACCAGACTGTAGGGCAAGTGCTGTTAGCGAGTGGCACCACCTGTGAAGGCCGGCACGGCACGCGAGGGGGTGGGTGGCCACAACGCCACGAAGGGGCCGCCTTTGTCTCCCCAGTGGCGATGTTTATACAGTACCGCACCAGCTGCTAATTTCAGGCCGAGTCTACCTAGGGGAGGCACGTCCATCCAATGGTGCGCGTGGTCTTGCTGCGACTTTAAACGCCCGGGCCCGACTGTAACGCGACCCACGCACCGCGGATTTGAGAAACTAAAATAACTTTTGGGCTAAACTGCTGTACGGGCACGGTTATTACGTCGACGCTTGGATAGAAGAAACTCTTTTTCCCGCACGGTTGGCTACGTACGGTGCGAAAGAAGTTCAAGTAGTGGGGGGCAACCCCTCCAGCAATGAGAAATGATAGAGGAGTTGTTAGTAGTAAGGAGTTGTTAGTGAGTAAGGAGTTGTTAGTACGTAAGGAGTTAGTAAGTAAGGAGTTGTTAGTGAGTAAGGAGTTGTTAGTGAGTAAGGAGTTGTTAGTACGTAAGGAGTTGTTAGTACGTAAGGAGTTGTTAGTGAGTAAGGAGTTGTTAGTGAGTAAGGAGTTGTTAGTGAGTAAGGAGTTGTTAGTAAGTAAGGAGTTGTTAGTGAGTAAGGAGTTGTTAGTAAGTAAGGAGTTGTTAGTGAGTAAGGAGTTGTTAGTGAGTAAGGAGTTGTTAGTGAGTAAGGACTTGCCCCTTGCTTTTTAGTCGACGCGTGTGTGGTGATGGTTCAGCCATCGATCGAGGGTCGAATTCGAACCGCGTCGTGATCGGCATCGCTGAAGCTGTGATGCCCTCATGGAAGTCGTGGACTGGACACACAACTAAGCACAATTCTGAGTCACTTATAACCGCTTTGCTGTTACTTATTGCCAATTATGGACTATTGTCCTATCATCGCAATGAGTCCCTGGCACGTAATAATATGCTACACAGTGGCAGTGAGGGTCGCAAAATGCCGATTTGTTACCAATAAACCCCCAATGATCTGATCGAAATTACAGATTTCGATCGGATCATTGGGTGGGGGGGGGCACGTGCCACCCCACTGGCTCCGCCAGTGAACGTGCACATACAGACTCACACAGTCACTCACCCACACAGTCACTCACACAGTCACTCACCCACACAGTCACTCACTCACACACTCACTCACCCACACAGTCACTCACTCACACAGTCACTCACCCACACAGTCACTCACTCACACAGTCACTCACCCACACTGTCACTCACCCACACAGTCACTCACTCACACAGTCACTCACACAGTCACTCACCCACACAGTCACTCACCCACACTGTCACTCACCCACATAGTCACTCACCCACATAGTCACTCACCCACATAGTCACTCACACAGTCACTCACTCACACAGTCACTCACCCACACAGTCACTCACCCACATAGTCACTCACCCACACTGTCACTCACTCACACTGTCACTCACACAGTCACTCACCCACACAGTCACTCACCCACACAGTCACTCACCCACACAGTCACTCACCCACACTGTCACTCACCCACACAGTCACTCACACAGTCACTTACTTACGCAGTCAGTAATTCACCCACGCAGTCAGTAATTCACCCAGTCACTCACCCACACACTCAGCCATCCTCCGATGAGCACGTTTGGCTACGTACGGTGCGAACTAAGTCCAACATACAAGTACATGCGTACAACTTTATATGAGCACACATCTAATATGAGCATCGAATGTTTACATGGCACTGTGTGGGGGGGGGGGGAGTCGAAAGTCAAACTCGTAAAACCGGTGCGCTCTGGATAGAAGCACAGCGTGGGTGTCGTCGTGTGCGCACCCCCCGTTTGCAATCCACTGCTGGAGGAAGTCCACCCCGCGAACGATCAAACTATTTGGTTGATGCTGCTGCTGCTGCTGCGTTGGCAGCGGCACACACGCACCAATTGCGCAATCAGAATCTTTATTGAGACCGGAGGAATCTGATGGTCCATGAAGCTCTTTCACACGATGGGCAGTTAAAACACCTCCATGCATTCGTCGACAGAAAAATGTGACCTTAAAATCAATGGATATATGTGCGATGAAGAAGGACCTTTGCCCGAAACGTCGCCTGTTATCACCACACTGATCAGCGTGGTGAAGGAGTGTGGTTAAACGATCTATCACGATGTAATGGAGCTGTACAGTCATCTAACAAACGACACTTATCGTAATCCTCCAGCCCCCCACTTCCTCGTATCGTCACCGCCATCATCACCGTCTATTGTGTGGAGCGTCTCACGTGCTCTCTCTGGCGGGGCTCGTGTGATGAGTTCCCCTCCCCCCACTCAGCAACCAACTCCTCGGCCTAACCCCCCCAAACCACCACCCACGTGACCTTCCACCCACTGAGAACGGAATTTTAAGCTCCGGGCAAACGGGGTGGGATGGGGGGTAAGGAATGGTGATGCCACTTGCTTAGAACAAAACAAGAAACGCCAGCATCGTCGGTGGGGGTGGGGGGGCAAGCAGTGTTTTGCATGATAGTTGAGGAGTAACACGAAGGACGATCAGCAGCCTTGATCAATCCACTGCTGCATGAAGGGCCTCCCCAAGTCACCGCCATCGGTTACTGCGAAGATACTGCTGAGACTGCTGTTAGCCAAGAAGGTTTTAAAAGGGCTCAACCCACATTACTTGCAGGAACTAACACATGTATGTATGCCATCAAGGTCCTGAAGATCTTGTGATCTCCAACTGCTCAGCACTCCCAGGTCGAGGTTGCACTCATTTGGTGATCGACGCTTTTGTTATCGTGGCACCAAAACTCTGGGGAACGCCTTGCCACTTGAAATCGGGCAATCGGAGTCTGTAGATATATTTAAGTCTAATTTGAAAATACATTTCTTTAAAGTGACCTTCCCTGTTTCGTTTAGTCGGTTGCCCTGGTTCTGCTTTTGTTTCCTGCTTTTCATGCATTGCACATTGGGATCCTAGGATGGAATGCACATTATACATTTGAAACGTATATATATAACAAATCAAGCACTTGCGCATCGCCCCATTGTTCACATCGATAGGAAACTTGAACTCAGATGTAAAGATTGAGGGTACGGATAGTTGCCCACCTTACCGAAGGCTCTTGACACTGCAAAAATTTAAGATAATTTTGGAGATACGAGTCGGGTTTATTTGGACACTGCTTTTCTCCACGTGTGTCAAAAAAAAGGAAATCAAACAAAGAGTTGTCCAAGTATCCCATGCAAACATGCCCTCTACAAAGCCTCTTAAGACTCAGCGGGACCTGGAATGCACGGTGTTGTTTAATGTGTAGTGGGCTCAAACGGAGACTCAGTCGTACTTTGAAGGCAACACATTTATTAACATTTACACGAACTTACAAAGGGGTAACTGCCCCTTCACCAGATAACTTATGGTGGTGGTCCACTAGGCTAGCTACACTAACAGCACTGGGAGTAGCTACTATGGACGGGACCCCAGCTTGGGTCCCGGTCCCCGTGTTGATCTTGTCTTCCGGACGTAGGGCGTAGAACGTAGTCTTCAGGATATCAACAGCAGCCGGTCCCACTGGGAGACCACCGGCTTATATCCTGTGTGGCGGGGCTCGTTCTGCCCCTAGCCACGACCCAGAGGTCGCAACCGGGTACCCGATACCCGGCTACCCGTACCCGACCCTGGTGCGGCCGGGTACGGGTACGGGTAGGCCTTGAGTCACTGGTGAGTAACCGTTTGTCACTCATTTCGGTTAGGGTACGGGTAGGGAACGGGTACCCGTACCCGCCCGGGTACGGGTACCCATTTGCGACCCTGGTGCGGCCAGGTACGGGTAAGGAATCAAAACCCGTTTGCGACCTCTGCCACCACCCCCTTCTCGAGTTCTTGAGGAGGATCTCCACTGGACACGTGGTCACCCCCAGCCCCCCCCCCCCCCTTTGGGGGTCACCGGGTAGACACCTCGGTCACGTGTCCTCCGGCGTCAACCAGGGTGCCATGGCCCCCTGCAACCCCATTCCGAGGCCGGCACTCTGGCACCCTATCCTGTAGGGGCTGGCACTGCACGTCGAGCGTGGTGCCATCACTCACTGTCAGTCAGTGGTGTCCGTGATGTCAATACAGGTAGTCCCCGACTTACGATGGAGGTGCGGAACGACGACCCAATCGTAAGTCGAAAATATCTTAAGGCGAAAATTGCCCAGCCTACCCAAGAGTCTTAAAGAATGGTGATAATTTAGCAAAACAGAGCTATTTACAGTACCGTACTGTATAAACTATATACTGTATTTATTTATTAATTACAATACTGTAAATTCTTAGCCTACCAATATGAACTGCAATTTAATGGAAAGTTTTTTCAGGAAACAATCCTATCTGCTATAAAAACTTTTAACATGCATTGAACACCGAGACAACTTAACTCCGTCGACCGCTGGTGAGATTGAGGCATCACCTCGCAAGGCGGGAGATGCGTACAGAACATCCCGGCAGCGTCCCAACGTACAGTATCGTACCTCGTACGCTGCTGCGTTTGCCTGCCGCGCGAAATGTACAATATTTAACTATTTTGTCATATCGCCATCGTAAGATCGAAATATCGTAAGTCGGACCATCGTAAGTTGGGGACTACCTGTGCATTGCATGGCGTGCCTTTCCCAGGCGGCCACACACGGTGACATCCAGCGATGTCGCTACAAATGTAATCAAGAGAGGGGAGGTTGTGATGATGGGTGGGGGTTTGTGTGCAGTGGAAGCACAGCAAAAGATAATAATGATGCAGACATTGGCACTCTCTCCGATCCGTGTTGTTCGGCATGAGATCTGTGTGCTTGCCAGGAGCTCCTTCAGCAACTGCATTCATTTCCATAATAGAGGGTTTTTTTTGGGTTACATCGCGTAAGTATTCATATGTCGTGAAACCCGCCACAGCCCAACACAGCCAATCACAGGAGTAAAGTTTGTCACCTAAAATGCCAATTCGTTACTCGTTCAGCACACCGCTGTGTTGGAGAGTAAACCCGCAACATTTCGAATTCGAGTACGTGCAACACATCGGTTTTCTGAACTAGTAACGAATTTGCACGTTAGTTTACGTGCCAAATCTTACTAATTGGCTGTCGGGTGGTGGCGGGTTTGACGACACATATTTACGCGATCTAACCCGAAAAAAACCCTCTTGTGGATAACATTGGTCGCGAAAGTTTACTACTTGTTAAACTGAATTCATTTGAACTCCCAGCACGTAAAGCGAAACGTCGGGCGTCGTATCGAACAACGCGGTGGAACCTGAAATCACCGCACAGTATTAAATACCACACAGCCTGCAAACACCACACGGCCTGCAAACACCACAACCTGAAATCACCGCACAGTCTGAAATACCACACGGCCTGCAAACACCACACGGCCTGCAAACACCACACGGCCTGCAAACACCACACGGCCTGAAAACACCACACGGCCTGAAAACACCACACGGACTAAAATACCACACACCCTGAAAACCCCACACGGACTGAAGACACCGCACGGCGTGAACACGTTCCTTCGGAGTGGGCAGGCAGGAACTTGGTTGGACAGCACATTCGTGCGATCCGTGTCACGCGGCACAAGCTGCGTGGGGCGGCGCGTCACGTGGTGCTGAGCCCACCCGAAGCGTTCTATGAAATACAAATCGAGGGCGTGGCTATGCACGACAGACAGACAAATAATCCCTGGTGGGCAGTGTGGAACTGTTGTGCCTTCCTGTAAAATACCACACCCTAAAAACACCACACAGCTGGAAAATACCCCACGGCCTGAAGACACCACACGGCCTGAAGACACCACATGGCCTGGTAACACCACACAGGCTGAAAACACCGCACGGCCTGAAAATACCACACGGCCTGAAAAGAGCACATCGCGGGCGTTGGAAAGTGGCATCCAGAGGTTGCCGACCAAGGGGGAGACTTGAAGCCCACATGGTGGGATATCGTGGGTGGGCTTTGGGTCGGCTGTACACAGAGGGATAACGTTTAAAGCCAAGTAGTGGTGAAATACTTCTTCATTGTGGGTTGGGTGTCAACTGTGAAACAAGATTGCCTCACATCCCCTACCAGCATATAGGTTGCACAGTTTACTCGATAATAAAAAATTGTATTTAACCCCAACGCTTAATTGACACAAACGTCCACAGAGTAACACTTTAAATGTCTTACAACTCTACGGCGTGTTGTCGACTAAACAAACGTTGCTATGAAAATAACGAATGCTGACTAAATTAATGCTACACCGCTGTGGTGAATGGTCATAATAACGGTAATGCAATTTATAACACGCATGATATTCGACGGACATATGTGACCGTGAGGCTTGGAGCCAAGCTGAGTGTCACACTCGAAAACCGGGTGAAAGAGGTGGACCTTTAAGAGAGCTGACTCTTAAAGGTGGACCTTTAAAAAAGCTGCGCCTTTAAGAAAGAGGTGGGCTTTTAAGAGAGCTGACCTTTTAACAAAGAGGTGGACCTTTAAGAGAGCTGACCTTTTAAGAAAGAGGTGGACCTTTAACAGAGCTGGATCTTTAACAAAGAGGTGAACCTTCAAGAACGAGGTAAGACGTCAAGTCTCAGATCGGTGCAGGTCGACTGCCGTTGTGAATGTGCAGCGGCATGATGGCGCTCCGGATGTCAGGTGTTGCCGAGGATAATCGACGGCTGGCAGTGTGACCCTCCTGGTCCTCGGTCTTCTGGCGTTTATGTTGCGCCCCTTGCCCTGCCCCCCAGGACGACTACATGGAGGCCCTGCAGCGCCTGCACCTGACGGTGACCCGCGCTTACAAGGTGAACCCCGACATCCGCTTCGAGGTCTTCATCCACAAGGTGGACGGCCTCTCGGACGACCACAAGATCGAGACGCAGCGCGACATCCACCAGCGTGCCAACGACGACCTGGTCGACATTGGCCTCGAGCAGCTCCACCTCAGGTGCGACGGGGATGCTTACGGGGGGAAGGCGGGGGGCAGGGGGATGTGATATTTCCATCGCCACGGGCTGGGCAAAAACACCATCCCCACCACTTTTCTGAACACCCGTACCGTTTTCGTTTGGGCAGGAAGACGCTTTGGCTGGAATTGATAAATCCTTGTTGAGGAATTGGGCCAACATCGATGCAGGGTGAGAGGTTACCACGGCCACTTTCATGAAGGTTTCCACATCTCTCGACTCGTGGTTAGGAAACCCAAGTGGCTGATGGAAAGCTCGCTCGTATGAGGGCGGATCATCTTCTCCCCGGTCAGCCCACACACGTGGCATTCCCAGGCTGTCTCTCGCACCAGGCTCAGTTTTGCTTAGCTGCTGGCATCTGGTGAGATCAGGCACTTTGAGGGAAGATTTTATCTTTTAAAAAAATATGTATTTGAGGTTTATCCCCATTGACCCGGTTGTTCTCCTGGCACCTTGTATTTATTCGGCCCTCGACGAGCAGTGCATCACACTTCCGGTGAGAGAGTGGCCCATGGAAGCAGATATCATGCCACTACCTCTGAGGCCCGTTCAAGCGACCTCGGGTGCACGCAGTCGGAGCAGTACTTTCGTCGCATGACAGTCAAATCGATATTTGAATTCTCGGACCTGGAATTTTTCCATCAACAAATTGAATGTGATTTTTTTTTTGTGCGGTCATCGGTATCCCGGCTGAGACCGTTAACTCCACTACGCTTGAGAGGACCGTTGTTGCCTGGATTCAAACCCAGGTCTCAGCGCTCTCGACCTCTTGAGCCACACCCCGCCACCCCAAGGGAGGTTCGATGTTAACAGCGGTGTCCCCCGCCTCTCTTTGCCGTTACAGCTTCTACCTGACAAGTATTTATGACCACTCCATCTTCGAGGCATTCAGCAAAGTTGTGCAGAAGCTCATCCCTCAGCTGCCGACCCTGGAGAACCTCCTCAACATCTTCATCTCGGTGAGTGTTGGAACACAGAAAACAGCATCGGCCATCATCACCATCACCACCGCAGTAGCTACAGTAGCTGCAGCAGCAGTAGCAGCTACTATTTTGTTTTATTTGTTACACAGGTTATCACATTTAGCTAGTTGCCTGGCATTTTTTTACAGATTAGCAGCAGCTGCAATAGCAGGAGCAGTGGCAGCTACGGGAGCAGCAGCAGTTGCAACAACAGCAGTAGCAGCTGCAGAAAATTCAGTACCAGCAGCAGTGACAACAGAAGCAGTAGCTCCAGATGCAGCTGTAATAGCAGGAGCAACAGTAGCAGCAAAAACATCAGCAGAATTAGCAGCAGCAGCAGTTATGCAATGGAAGGGGAGCAGTGTCTCTCGTGCTGTGTACAATTTGTATAGATCCCTCCTGCCATCAGGTCTCTAGCAAATAGAGACCTGATGGTTCAATGGGACATTGTCTACAGGAAAGCCCCCCACAGGGGTGCCTACCTAAAACCTGACTCTCACCACCATCCATCCCAGAATAATTCTCTCATCAAAACTCTACACCATAGAGCTCATTGTATTTCCGACAGTCACCACCTAGCCAGGTGAACTGGAACACATACACCAAGCCCTCAAGATGAATGGATATTCAGACTACACAATCTGTAAAGCTACCATCTGAGGACCCAATCAAAATCATCACCTTGCCATACATAGTAGGGAGGTCACCAAAAAGATTTCCAAAATCATGAGCAAACACAAGATCCAGGTACGATTCAACACAGTACATAAAATTCGTGATTTGATCTCTTCTGTGAAGGATGTGATCCCTGACATGCAATACCCCGTTTACCTATTGTAGCACGTGTAGGATTTATAGTGGTATGCATACGTTGTGGGGTGTGGAACTGTAGAATCTGTAGTAGTGTGGATCAATCGCATAATCTGTTGTGGTACGTATGTATGTTGAACTTATTTTGCACCTTACGTAGACTACCGTGCATATCGGAGGTGCGATGCTATCGACGTATGTATCATCTGTATAATATAAAATAGAGGTGCGAATCTATACTTTTGTTGGCTGGTGTTTTTAATGCGTTAATTACATCTTGTTTTAATTGTAATGTTTGTGAATTGGTTCATCTTTGAACCCTTACACCTCTAGGATGATGGATGTAATTTCCGAAAACATTACTTCACTTTTTCCCTTCCTGCCACCCGTGTCTTCTCTCCTCCATGTCTCCTTCCGTGTCTCGGAGTCTCTTCTCTTTCTGTTTGCCTCCTTCCATCACGTCTCTCGCCCCCTTTCATCTCTCCACGTCTCATTTAATGCCTCTGTCTGCCTCTTTCCACCACGTTGTTCTGTTTTCCTTCCTCCGTGTGTTCTTCATCCCTTATCCGTGTCCCCTTCGCTGTCTCCCTGCGTCTCTCCCCCCCCACCCCTACCGACCCCTACCCGTTGCCCCCTCTCCCTGCCCGGCTCAGAACTCGGGGATCGAGAAGGCGTTCCTGTTCGACGTGGTCAGCAAGATCTACATCGCGACGGACAGTTCGCCGGTCGACATGCAGTCCTACGAGTTGTGCTGCGACATGATCGACGTCGTCATCGACGTCTCCTGTATCTACGGGTAAGTCGGCCCGCTGCTGCCGCCGCCGCCTCTCCCACCGCTGCTTCAGCTTCTCCTGCGCTTTGCCTGCTGCCCGGTCACCTCCCTGCCACTGTCCTGCCACCACCGCTACTACCGCCATCACTGCCACCACCGCTACTACCGCCATCACTGCCACCACCGCTACTACCGCCATCACTGACACCGCCGCCACTACCAATGCCACCATCGCTGCCTCTGCCGCCACCATCGCTGCCTCTGCCGCCACCACCATTGCCACTGTTGCCATCGCCACAATTACCACCGTCGCCACTGCCGCCACTGCCGCCACCACCACTTTCACCACCGCCACTATCACCACCACCGTTGCCGCCACCATCACCCACGCCACCACCGCCGCCTGCTTCCACTGCTTCCACTGCCGCCTGCCGGCGGGATTCCGCTTGCTGGCCGTTTTTGTAGCTAAATCGTATGGCTTGTTCTGCTTTTATCCCTTGTCTCGAATGGCCTACGGGTTTCGAACAGCTGTACAGCAAGGAGGTTGCTGTCCTAGAATTTATTAAGGAATTTTTTAGTTTTTAATTCGGATGTGTGGGTTGGGTGGTTTTTTCCAGTGAGTCAAGTTTTTTCTCTTTCTCGTGCATGCTTTGAGAGATTTAGCCAATGTCCCAATGCATGACCCTCCTGAGATAGTCTACAGACAATAAGCCTTTGAGTGGGTAAAGAAGAGGCTTTTGTTGAGAAGGCTAACGACTGGGCTGGGCTGTTAGCTTGGCCAATAAGCTCACGTTATCACAGAGCCCTCCCATCATCAGTGTGACCGCATGGGCTACAAAATCGAACAAATTGGATAGTCGCGCTGAATACATTTTCATGATCAAGTCGGCTTAGTTGAAGGGCTTCACCGTCACGAGTTGTGAATTTGACAATACCAATGTTGTGAGCCACTGGCACATTTTAATCCATAGGGCACGGTCTATCTGAATATGACGCTCTCCCGGCTTGTTGTTGTTGTTGTTTAAGTAAGAGCTAATTTTCACGAGCCATTGTGAAGCCTGCCACGGTGGCTCGCCTCCCAGAAAAAAACATCGGCCACCGAACCATCGGCTCGTGACGGCCTGCGTTTTAAAATAACCACGGCGAGCGGCGAGTGGTCTAGGGCACAGTTTTTTTTTTTAAAGCCCTGGGCCACACGCAGGCAACTGTTGGACAAGCGAATCCGCCCGCACTTTGGACTTGATTGGCGAGGAAAGCATCTCTTGCCAAAACAACCTCCGCAAGCGAAAACTGTTGTCACGAGCGACGTTGACACATAGCCTGCAAATAAATAGCAGAGCCCTCGTGAGCTCACTGCAGATCTTTGCACGCACGCGTGTGTTCCTGTGTTCCTGTGTGTGTGTCACGGGGAGTCGTTAGTGTAGCGGTTAGCGCGCTGCGCTACGAACCCGGCAGCCCGAGTTCCATGCCTGCTCCTGGTCAACACCAGTGACGAATATCTGAACCAGTCTCGGGCCTCCCCTAGGTCAACTCGGCCTCAAATGAGTACCTGGTGCGGTGTGTAAACATCGACACTGGGAAAACAAAGGCGGCCGGGCGTGGTACTGGCCACCCACCCCCTCGTGTACCGTGCCAGCCTTTATAGGTGCTTGGTAACAGTACATGCCCCAACAGTCTGCTAAGGCTATACAGGGGATCTTTTCTTTGAGTGTCTGTGTGAAGAACTGTAATGGACAGTTGCACAGTGGGGAGTGGTGGTGCAGTGGTTGGCGCGCTGCGCTACGAACCTAGAGATCTCCATTCCCGGCCGTGGCTAAAGTCAATGGCCGAGCGTTATCCGTATCGGTCCTTTTCCTGAACTAGGTTGACTTGGCCTCAGATGAGCAGGTGATGAGGTGTGTGAACATCTGCACGTAGAAGACAAAATGCGGCCTGGGCGTGGTGCTGGCCACACCTATGCCCTTGTGCGCCGTGCCGGCCTTCATAGGCACTCGCTCTAATGGTACTCGCTCCAACAGCTTGTTTAAAACTATACAGTGGCCTCTCGGTTTACGATACCATCAATTAACGATCCTCCTCCCATGGGGTCCCATGGTTTCTATTAACGATAAATAATTTCGATTAACGATATTGTTTTACGATATCACGCGGACCCACAAATTTCAGCCAATCGGAGCGCTTCTAATTGGACTCGCGAGGTCCAATCAGCGATGCCCCTTTTATGAGCGTTTTGAGAGCAACTGGCTCCTAGCTTTTCAATGTTTGATGCACGTTGCTTATGGGAACGGCCGTCTTGAATACTTAGTGTTCTTTTTACTTAAAAGTTACTTAATACTATCAATAACAATGGCCCCCTAAAATGAATGTCAAGAAATACAAGAAAGTGAGGAAAACTATTAGTTTTTATGGTGAAAAAGGTTAACTTCTGAGTGTCTTGGAACAAATGAAGTCTTCAACAAGCATGTCCTAATACAGTAGAACCCCTCTTAACGACGGTAATTGGTTTCCACGAAACCGGTCGTTAAGCGAGTAGAGGAAATGCACGCTAAAGGCTTAATTCGTTCCGATAGCATCGAAAGTTTCCCTTTTTAACACAAAAAACATAATATTGAAACAATGGATAGTATTACATAAAGAAACATAATATTAAAAGAAAAATTTGTTAATAAATGCATTATTTAATATTCACTGGACATACAACAGCCCATCGTTCACAGGGGAATGGTCGCTAAGCTAACACATTCGGCTTTATGGAGGCCCGGAGTTAAGCGATTGGTGCTTAAGATGGGTTGTACTATATTCGATTAACGATAATTTTCATTCTCGATGGTTTTCGTGGAACCCATTAATATTGTTAAACGAGGGACCACGGGATGCGTGTGAGTAAATGCCCTCACACATTTCACTGGCAAACTTGGCACGGTCAATTAAAGATTCCACAAACGTCGCTTTTGATTCTGGCACTTTAATCTGGGCCTTTTGCAAAATACAATCTCCAAACAGTGCCTTTGACTTGGGCAGTTGCTCAACTCCATTCCCTTCAAAATAAGATCTCACCTTAACTAAGCTTGGACTGGGTTTTGTAGGGGCAAAGGGGGGCGGTGGGGTCAAGGGTTATTCGACGTAGTGGCAAGTTGGATCGTTGTGTTTTGTGGCTGCGCTTGTGGTCCCGTCTTCCTCCACTCTGACGTTCTCTCTTGCTGTATCGCTTAATCGCTGTCCCCTCCCTCCCGCTTGGTGTTGTTGTTATTGTGGGGAGTAGTGTGCCTCCCCTAGGTCGACTCGGCCTCAAATAAGTACCTAGTGCAGTGTCTCAACATTGGCACTAGGGAGACAAAGGCGGCCAGGCGTGGTGCTGGCCACCCACCCCCTGTGTGCCGTACTGGCCTTCGTATGTGCTTGCAAACATCGCATGCCCCAAAAGTCTGTTAAGGCTATACGGGGGATCTTTATCTTTGTTGTTTGCTTGTTGTTGTGCTGCTAGCTGCAGTAGCTTGCAGGCAGATTCTAACGCCCAGGGCTGTAGTAGTCAAGGATGCGCGTGGCCACTGTGGTGCTGAATGGGCCCATTGATATTAATTACTTAGCGTGTCCCCAGTAATTTTGAGCCCTTGATGCTAAAGACATTGGCATGTACCAGCGGCGTATTTGACCGGCTCCTGACTGCTTCCTAATAAAGGTCTTGTCCATCAGCTCCAACTGGTCAGGCCGACACAATCTGGACAATAAGTGCTTCCGTAAGGAACAGGACTGCCAATTTCGACGTACGCACAAAAAACAAGACTGTCCCGCCACCCGACGTGTCTATTTTGTGGCTGTCCCTCCGTGCCGTTTGGCGCGACGCTCGGACGTTTTGCTCCGTGCCGGTTCTTTCCTTAAGAAGCTCCCAGAGCGCGTCGAGCGTAACGTCGGGATGTCGTGCCGAAACGGCACGCGGCGCAACCCTGACCGAAAGCGATCGGAGAGATCCGCTCCAGTTAGCGACATCAACACACCGACCTGATGGCCACCGATGTGGTTCTGAGTTTTCGCTTTTCGCACGTCCTCACGCTTGCTTTTATGACTGTACAGCCCTTGACCCCCCTCCCCCCCGCGCGCTTGTGTGCCTGCATTTTGGGGTCGAGGGCGAGCACTTTGCTGACTTTGCTGGCCAGCTTTCGAGAGAAAGCAGCAACAAATAAAGGCCGGTACTTAAGTAGGTACCATCTCCTCCCCCGCAGTGTGTCGCATTTCGGCAGGACAACTGAGGCCATAGGAGACGAAACGGAGTCAGCAGGCAGGTGAGTAAAAGAGAGAGACAGACACAGGCCCCTAGGGTTGCCGCTATATCATCTGTATCATTAACAATACGATGTTAATTTTCGCGATGTTGCGATTATCGCGATGTAATTTTACCCATAACTCTGTAATTGTATTCCGCGTTTTTTTTCGGTTACTGATTTTGGCGCTGTGCTGTAACTTGCAGTGCGGTTCTGTCGTCAAATGACTGCCATAATCCTCGTGACACATTTTTCGGCCGAAAACGCATAAGCTGTCGGTTACACAAAACGACGAGTCGTTCAATGAACTAGGCTTACTTTCAATTGTCATGCAGGAAACCTAGCGCGTTGACTTCGTAATGTAACTATGTACTTGAAACTCAACGTTATTTCACGCCTGTTATTTGCATGTGAATTTTGTTCGCAAAAACAGAGACATAAAGTCATGCACGAACAAAAATGATGTGACGTTCTTTTGCTAAATGGGCGACACGATGACTGTGCGATGTATCGCGGAAAGCTTTCAGCGCCCCGGCTACTGCCATGGGCTCCGTGCGGCAGGGGCAGCGGAGCCTCTGCGGTCGGCATGGGAGATGTAAATTATTCGATGATAAGGCACGGGTTGCCTCGATGTAGCGCCGCGCCATGCGCTGCGATACGCCATCAGTGTACACAATGCGATGCTCATTATGTCGTTTTCGCACTTTGACATTTTTCAAAGTCCGAGTGATTTTGTCGCTCGCACGAGCATTGAAGCGTTACTCATTCCTTGTTTTCTAAAAGCCCTGAGCTAATTGGCGGCGAAACTCCCGCATTTCTATGACAGGGCCCAGGCTGCTGGTAACGGCGGTGCAGCGTGACGCTTGGCAGACCCTTGGCTTGAGAAGTTCATTACTCGTCGAAGCCTTTTTTGGCCGTTGCGTCGCAGCGTGTGTTTACGCCGCGGCGTTATTCGGGCGCTGCCTCTGTCTGGCACTCCCCCCACCACCACCGCTAGTGTTATGCAAGTTTTAAAGTGAAAAAAATTATTTTGCTTTAATTCCTCCCCCCCCCCCCCTCCCAAGGGGGTGACCACAAAAATGTTATTTGTGTTTTTTTTTAAACGTAGAGAGATAAGCAAGCAACGAGGGTTGCAGTGACTCAGCGGGCCATCGATTGAAGTAATTTGTTTGGCCAAGATGCGCGTGTCAAATTGCGCATATTTATGGTTACGTCCAATGCACGTTTTCGCGCTGCTGCAGAGCCCAAGTTTGTGAGCGGAAGGCGGGACCGCAAAATAAATAGCTGTGCTGTGCACCAACGTCTATGCTCCCCACCTACACCAATCCACCCTGACCATTGTGGTGACGTGGCTAGATAACCCCCAGGACCGGTACGGCGTGGGAAGGCCCTCATTCAGCAGTGGATTGAACATTATGCTGTAGATGTCCACGTGTGATTATAAAACTATCCTATATATGCATAAAACTAATTTCTACGTGCACCATGGGTGCAAAATTGTATTGATTCGTGAAGCAAATCATGAATCCAACCTGTGATAAGGTCATCGAACGGTGGCAGGAGTGAGTTCCTACTCCACCAACTCCAATTCCATCACTGCTGAATCGATTTGACGCTCCCTGTAAATGATGATAAACTCATCGGACAAAGTACAGCGAGCAGGCTGGAAACTAAACGAGAGCAATCGTCACGCACGCAAAGGGGGTGATGTTTAGATGGCTTGTTGTGACCAAAGCGCCGGTCTACCGGTCATGCCTTGCGTGTCACGTGACGTGACCGTGCTGCGGTGTCATTGTGTTTGTACCGCGAAGTTGTGGCCATTTGGGACAGCAGCAAGACCATGAGACGATGTCGGCAGCATAGATTTCCGTGGTCGTAGACGGGTCAGGGCGGCCAAAAACTATAGGTCAACTTTTATTTTGTTTCACCAGGGTGAGAACTCAAGAGACCAGGATATACAGTCTCCTTCGCAAGCGACCTGGGGCCTAACTGCCAGTAGTGGAGGGCGGGGGGGGGGGGGGCGACAATTGGCATGATCATTCCGGTTGAGGAATCGGCGGTGCAAATTTTCTAATTCGGTCGGCCTGACGAGCCTAAAAAAAACTACAACAAGTAAAAGGGCCCACGGCGTAGCCCAAGGAGGGACTTGCTGGCGCCCGAGTGCAACGGGAGCGCCGCTGTGTCTCCCCGGCGTGGCAGGCTAAAGGAGGACGGTGGCGGTGGCGGCGGCGCCTACGACAAGGACTCGATGGCGATCATCAAGCTCAACAACACCACGGTGCTTTACCTGAAGGAGGTCACCAAGTTCCTCACGCTCGTGTGCATCCTTCGCGAGGACAGCTTCGAGAGGAAAGGTGAAGGGAAGCCCCCCCCCCCCCTCCGCGCGCTGGCTCCTCGCCCACTGCGGGGCGCACGGCGCGTGCCGACTCGGCCCTTGTTACGCTTTATCGGCTTAAGTTCCACATTTATTTTGTTGTTATTTCCACCCCCCCCTCCCCCCCCACTTGTTGTCTTTCCTTCCCCTGCACCTCCGATTAGCACGGTTAGCTATGTACAGTGCGAAAGAAGTTCATCATACGACCAGGTGATAATCCAAGAGGGCAGGATGAGTGCATAGACACCTGGGTCACCAAAATGACAAAGGGCAAAATCAGTCAAGCAGAACGACGAAGAAAATAGAAATCGGAGCAAAAACCACTCTTGTCATACATTGATTAATTTTTTGTCAGTTTTGTGGCCGCATGAGATGCCGAAAATATTGCACGAACAGAAATCAACGTTGAAAAATAAGAATCGCTACAGCGTGTTTAGACCGATCAAAGTACAATTACAATCGAGTTACAAAAACATAAAACAGATGTAGGGTGAATGTTGTACTGATAATTTGACCAGGATACATGTCGATTGCAAACTTTGTTTGAGCGAGTTATTGTTTGTAAGGAGGGTCACGATAACTCTCGTAAAGATGTTTAACATTCCAAAATTGGCCAAAATTCATTCATTACTTGGCTCGTCAATCATATGGGCCTAATCGACCCATCTGCGATGTCACGCACTTGTGGCTGATGACGTCACATGCCGATGGTGAGTGACTTGGGCCTACCGGTCTCGTCACGCGCCGTGTGGCGTTGTCTCGTTGTACGGCTCAGAAAGCAACGTTATCGCTGATTGAAGACTACCGAGGGCAAACGCACATCTGAAATCGTTACAGATTCTCTGAGTGCGCATGGCTCCTCGTTTCTCACGACCAAGGCTTCAGTCTTGTATCGGGCAGTCTGGGACAGTATGTCTTGGGTGTGTCTCCAAAACGAGTCCCAATCTGTGTTTTTTTTTTTACGGCTGCAGTTTTTTCCTACCAGGGATCTCGCCATGGTGTAGCGGTCCGCACACCGCACTTTGGCGGTCCAGAATTTGCCGGTTTGAGCCTATCTCCTGGTTGCAGCAGTTGAAACAATGGGGAAAGTTTTGTAAAAAAAAATCTCCAGCGACGCTTTTGTCCACTCAGCGTTATAAATGGGTACACCACGGTTAGTCTGTGATCGGCAGGTCGTGTGTGGTTGGGGTTAATTGTGGGTACCCCAAACCTTTCCAAGACTTCTGACCAGCGTGGAAGAGTAAGGGGGCTCCCAGGAGCTGCGTCTAGCGCGGAGGCCCTTCTGCCTGCAGTGGCGTGAGCAAGAAATTGCAGGGCTGCACTTTTACCTTGACGTTTTTTTTTTCCCCTGTAATAGCGAACGTGTGCACGTGTCATTTCCCTCCTCCCGTCCCCGTTGGCACCACCCAGGTCTCATCGACTACAACTTCCACTGCTTCCGCAAGGCAATCCAGGAGGTGTTCGAGGTGCGGCTCAACTCGCACCGGACAAACGCGCACGGCACGCCTGAACTGTCCGACGGGAAATCCTTTTCGCACAACGGCATCGTGGCGTGACCCCCTGACCTGGGCGGAGATTTCCCGTGACGCGCCACTCGCCCGGCCAGCGCCCTCGGGGTCCAGACCTTCCCTCCTCCTTTCTACGCCGCCGCCGCTGTCATCACCGCCCCGTGGCGACGAATCATCGGGAGGAACGGCTGTAGCGTCTGCAACTTGCGCTGTGTAGAAACACCGTCACCGTTTTTCTTTGTTTTGTATCGAAGTTGCGTGTGGGTCCATTTTTGACTCCACGCTTCTTTTCTGTACCACCACCTGCGCTTGGAAAGGTGGGAGGGGGGGAGGTGGGGAGGGGCGGAGATGGGGGGGCGGGGCGAATGAAACAGGAATAAGTTAAGGCAAAAATAGTGTAACTAAAAGAAAAGAAATCCGTAAGTATTTTGATTGTAAAAAGCGCACGCGACTCTTCACTATTTTTCTGTGCTGCATAACAACACAACTCACTGCTGTCGTTGAGAGTAAAAGCTGTAAATTATTAAGTTTCTTTTTTTCCCCGTTTACATATATACGCGTGTGTAATTTAGTTTTCTTCTTCCCTGCAACTCGGGGGTGTGAGGCTTGGCGGGTTTGCCGATGCCCCTGCTTGTTCAGCGTCCGCGATCCAACGCCGTGGGCCCCCACACGCAGAGGTGCGCGTGGTGCCTCGATCGTTCCCCTGCAGCCCGTGTCACACCGCAAGACACGGAGCGGTCAGCCCAATGCCCCCACGCGGCCATACCTCGAGCATGGACGTAATGGTGCGGGCCTCTCTGCCGGAGGGCTCCACTCGAGTGCTCCTCCGGAGAGGTGTTTTGGTCTACTCTTCCTCGCTCCCCAGCAGGGAAGTGGTGGGGGGGGGGGGCAATCTTTTGTGCGTTTTTTCTCGTGGCTCTGTGCCCAATGAGGAACGTGTGACCGTTGAGCGGTCGGGGTCAGGGCGGGGTCGGGTCGGATGTGGCAGAGGCTAAAAAAGCTGGGACCCCCGCTTTAAGCTGCTGACGCAAGCATGGAGGGGTGATGCAATCCGCGTGCTACAAGCAGAGCTTGGCGAGCAACAGTTGCAGCGTTGACGCATAATCGATCGCCTTTTAAAAATAAATGTAATTTGAAGCAGTAAGGACGGCGCGCATGTTCGCCGCTTTGCTGACACGGGCGACCAATTGCGGAATGGCGCATGTGGACTTTTCGAAGGTAAATTGATGAAAAAGAATAAGAATAGCATTGAATGTTTTTTTTAAGGTACAGTTTTTTGTCAGTGTTAGCTACTCTTGATGTGCAAGGTTACCTGTTTTAACATTGAATCGGGGCGTGTTGTGACACCACGCGTTTGGATGCAATCGGAGCGACTTTTTCACCGTTGCCGGGGAAAAAAAGCGCTGCCCCTCCCCCCCCTTGTTTCTCTGCTGTGCCATCGAATGCATCGTTTCCACCGGACAACCGTGCTGCGCCGAGCCAGCCCGGCACGGGTCGCCAGGCGCCACGCTAGTTTTTCCACTGCAGGAGCCTTTTCCTTCACCGCTGACGTCATCCGTAATGAATGCATCGAGTTGCGCGTTACGACAATAACGAGATTAGCCCTGTCTCTGTGGCACTCTTTTTCCCCGAGCCAGATTCGGGTGTCTTGCGAGACACCCGGCGGTTTTATGGTTGAGGCACTGCCCTGGCTGCGCGAATAGCCAGCGGACAAGCATCCCGCAACTGTTGAGGAGTGCTTCCCTCGCCGGCAACGGCTTCAACTTGCGAGTGGAAAGAGCGAGTGTGACAATACCCATGCCCAGTCGCAACGTCGTGGTCGTCGTCTCTCCGAGGCAGAAGGGTCGTGGGTGAGGCTTACGGCACCGGCTGCCAGCCACGGTGGGGCAGGATGGTGTGGGGGGGGTGGGGACGACCGTCCCTTTTGCGAGTGAACGGTGGAAAGTGGTGGAGGGAGTCGTAGACCATCGTAAGCGGCCAGCATGTCTGAAGGTTTTTTGCGTGCGCCTGTGTTTGGGTGTCCAAGGAAGCGGACTTTGCATTGGCGATTGTTTTTCTGCGCGCGAGGCCTGCAAGGCTGCCACGTTCTCGGGTGCTCGCGTCGAGGTAACTTGAGAACGGCGAGGCAAAGCAAAAAAACGCGTGTCGATGATTTTGGTTGTGTGTGCACACCGCTTTAATTGAAGAAAGACAACCGAAAAAAATGACACCTAGTCCTTTGTAGATACATACCCAGTCGGGTGATGTTTCCCAATTTCTGATTAGTACAAAACTTTAATTGTGATTTACATACAAAGATTTGAATTCGACGTTTTACGATTGGTCCGTAAATGTGGCGTCACAACAATTTGTCACCGACTGTGGGCCGTTGCGTGCCGTGTTCCGCGCGGCGTTGCATGACGTCGTTTTAAAAGGAATCTTGAATCTCATCCCCAATACAGCGGTGGCTATGAGTCTCGGGCTGTCTTGACGCAAGTTGTCTAAATTTTATTAAACGAACATCGGCAAAAAAATCATTCAAAATCAGCAGCAGCCCAGCCACGTGACTGCGGTGATGACACGTCGACAAACGTGCACGATGCCGCATTGACGAACCTAGAGAGCCAACCTGACCGTGATGTCAAGTGACGTTTTCTCTCCAACTGACGCAGCTCCCGTTGGATGGCACCAGACGCACAGTCCCCTTGCTTTTTTTGTTTGACAGGGCAGTGTTTTTGTGATTTAAAATATTCATAAACCACATGCGGTTTTTATTTTAGTCGACGGACATGAAGATTCTCAAGAATGACGATGATGGCGACTCTCCACCAGGGACCACGACTCTCTCCGACTCTCTACCAGAGTCCACGACTCTCTACCAGAGTCCACGACTCTCTACCAGAGACCACGACTCTCTATCAGAGACCACGACCTCTCTACCAGTGACCACGACTCTCCACCAGAGACGGGGACTCTCCAGCAGTGAGCGAAGCGTGACTTGCTGGTGATAAACTGAACGAGTCTGAAGGCTCAGACTTTTTTAATTTGGTCGATGTATTAGAGAGTCTGGTGGACTGAGGAAGACCAACAATAGCATTTGGCTTCCTGTATATAAAAAGGTTTACGGAGTTCACCGATTGGTTGACCTGACAAAATTGGAGGGGGGGTCTGTTGAATTTATATTCCTCTCAAAGCAGCGTTTATTAGCTCGGACTTAAACATTGAATAACTGAACGTGGACCCTATTCGACGGGACGAAGAGAATGACTGGATGACACCCACAGATGTTGCCATCGACTAAGGGCCTAGGGCTGACTCGGATTAAACCTGCTGATTAAATGAACACTGGGGTAGGTAGCAGTCGGTGGTGTCTCGAGTTGATTGGCCGTTGTTCGCCAAGCCGGCACGCTCTGGCCCGTGCGCAGGGATGTTGGGGGTGGCGGCTGCGATGCACGCGTGGTTTGTGAATCTCTTGCGGGCGACTCTCGTGTGTGATTATTTATAGCTGCCTGGGGGCTTCGATGGGTTTCTGCCATGACCCTTTGACTGGGAAAGAGTGGGGAAACGAAAACTCCCGCGCACTGCGTTCGTACCCTCGCCGCACACTGGCGCGACTTGTAAAGCTGTATAGATCTCCAATGTGTGTTTTTTGGGTGCCCGACGTTTCGCTCCAACCCCCGCTGGAGCTTCTTCGGCAACTGAACTCGATTTTTCGTGTCGAGCTGAATTCAGGGTTTGAGTTTCTCCAAGCCGTGGTTTTAAAGTTTTGTTTTCGTTCTTCGTTGAGGTTTTGTTACTTGCGTTGTGCAGCCCCCGAGGCGTGCACTGTTTCATTCGGTTCCCCAAGGAAGTTCCCGCGGTACCCCGAGCGAAACGTCGGACATTGCGCCGAACAGCACACGGCGCGACCCGAAAACACGCGTCGTGAGAGCTTTCAAACCATTGGACGTGGGCGACTAACGTCAACTCAAAGAATATTTTTTCATACACAAGTACAATCGGCTGCGCCCACCGTCTTCACGTTTGGTCGAGTGGCTAAACTGAAAGTTCCACCACTGATTTTTGCAGCCTGCACAGACTTTTGAGCCATAGATGCTCTGACCACTCTGAATGCCTTCAGAACCTCGGTGCACACGATCAAGTCTAAAGGCCAGTACACAAAGGTGAGTCTGTATCGTTCTCTCGAAGGTGATCAGCTATTTTTGTACCCATTTGATTCGCACACATACGAATGAGTAAATCTTCTAAACGGGTTGTATTGTAATGATAATAATTATGCTTTAATAAATACGTTTGAAATCGCTTGCTGCGTGTCCTGGCGTTCATTTCACTGTGTAGGTGAGCGGTGCCTAGATGTGTCTGCCGTCTCGTTCTGACGATGCACGGATGGCAATTGCCTCGCGTGCCCATGCTTGTGTCATGGTGGTATTGAGACGTACGCACACCAACTCCCATTACTTACCTGTACGGGGCGGTCGTGGTATTCCTAGCGGGGCCCCTCCCGGGGGGAGGGGGCTGTGGGTGTCCTGGGATCCCACAGAGCCCCGCCCTTCGGTGGGGAGTTTGTATAAAAAGTGGGAGCCCGAGAGAGTTGGGTAGGACTGACAAGCCGAAGCCAGAAGAACCAGCTGAAGACTGAAGTCCGGCTAGCTCGACCCTGGGACTCCTCTGACCCACTGCCCTTGTAAGGGCCGGGCAGAGCAAGCCAGTGGTGCGACCCCAGAGCCTCGGAGCCCGACGACCTTGTCAGTGCCGGGTCCGTGTAGCTGGTTAAAGTTCATGTATTAGGTACAAGCCCTGTGAGCCATTCGGCTCTTGAATCGGGTGCAACCGCAACAAACAAAAAAACATGAACAAGAAAACATCTTAAAGTGACTATGTGACTGTGCAAACAGAAAAATAAAGGGAAAAACTACAAAGTCTTCCAGAAAAAAATCCCCGTACACCAACGCTGTGCAAAAGTCCCAGTGGGATGCAAGTCAAACAACAACAATCACAAGATAACTTAGATTAAGGCCATCAGTCTAACTCCGTACTACAACAAACAAACATGGCCAAACCAGTAAACTTTTCGAAATCACCAAAATAAAGCAATGAAACAGTGATCATAGGAACTGTGACGGAATTTTCACAATAAACGACAAACAACATGTACATGGTGGTCGAGACCTGCGCCTTGGCTGGGCCAGGTCAGGTAGCCTCCTTTTAGATGAGGGTCGAGGCATAGGTGGGGAGTAGGCGAGTTAGCTGGGAATACCTCCCTTGAGAGCAGCGGGTGAAGAGGCCGTTACTTCTTCGAGTGTGAAGCTGTAACGTGGCTAAGTGTTAATAAATCGTGTTGCTTCTACGTCAACGTCTCTGTCGTCAAAGAACCCACTACACTTGTAGAGAAAGCGATCTGATTCGAAATTATTTGATGAACGATTCCTTTTTGTCTGCTGGCCCACATTAAACCGACTTGCCCTCCAGCGGTGGACGAGGAGGTTGGTGCGTCGTGAGAGATTGATGAGACACGTAGGATGCATCTGGCACATGCTTACAGGATTTAAGATCGTGCATGTGACCAGGCTTTCGAGAGTATATAACCACGTTTAACACAAAATAACCACACGCACGTCAGCACAGCAATGGCCCTTCGTAGCACGTAAAGAATGCCCACTGCTTGCAACGTTGACTATTATATACTTCACCTTTTAAGGGGACACTGTTAATTGCTGGGTTTTTTTCTTCATTTTGGAGTGATTTGTGCACCATTGCCAATGCAGCATCGCCGAAATGATGTTTTGAATAAAGGTCAAGGACACGGTTCCTCTTTCAATGGGCATTAACTCCTCTAACGATCCGTCAATCATCGGATCTCAACAGGCGCTCGTGCGGTTAAACAATTGACTCCTGCCTTGGTAATAGAGGGCAAACTATTACCATATATTAGCTTTTGATTTGTTACTGATTTTTTTTCAATCAAAACTTTGAGTAATATGTATTTTACATTAATGAGCTCTAACTTGGTGAAATAAGGATGCTGATAACATCCATCCGAATGGGCTTTCGGCATCAACCGCATTCCATCCACTGCCGGGTTGGAGGCACCCCGAGTCGCGGATCTCCGAGTGCAACCATCCGCCTGTAGCTCCTGCGCACGAGGAGACCACGCCGCTCCATCTCCGCAGCTGACATTCTCTCCTTGGCCTGCGATTCCATGATGAGTCTTGTCCATCATCCCTCCGAGTGATGCTTCTCGCTTAAGCCAGATTTTTGTTTGTTAAGTCTATCGTGTCTAATTATGTTTTCTGTACTTCCGTCTATGCGTAATTTTAAGCACGTGCCCCTCCCCATGCTGCTTTGCACACTTCAGCGTGTATCCCTTTTGTCAGTGTGCACGTTTTGCATCCACGCGTAATAGCGGTCAGTAATGAAGCATCGGAAACTTCATTTTTTGAGACGCGTGGCTAAAATGTTGCATTTCGTGATCAAGTATTTTTTCAAAAGCGTCTCTATCTGCTGCTTTCTGTCCGCATCCTTAAAACCTTCACCATCCTTCATAACCATGCCAGGCAGACCTCTCCCTACCATCACCCTCCCTTGACATCCCTTCCTAACCTCCCTCTCCCTACCATCACCCTCCCTTGATATATCTTCCCCTCTCCAACACTCAAACCTCATCCCTTCTAATCTTGATTTGAAGCTTTCGTGACTGCAGGAATCCATACTCTTTGGTTCTTTCGGTAAAGTCACGTGGGTATAAAATAAAATAAATCACGACGTTTCGGGCGCAACACAAGCGTCCATCATCAGGTGGGAAAGCGTGGTCTGCTGCTGAGGCAGGCTTTTAAAAGGTTTGAAATGGGTGTAGCTCCCCATCAGCCAATAACTAATTTAAAATGTATAATTCTCGTAAAGCGCTTTGACAAAGGCGCTTCATGAAATCCGAAATAAGTTCAGGTTTTCCAACGGTACCGCAGGCTGCACAGTGTCCTGACCCTGATCTCGTCCCACCTTCAACTATGGTCCTCGGTGTGCGTTTGACGCATTTTGCAGTTGTTGTGTTCCTTCAACAAATGTGTATCTGGGTGGTGGTGGTGGTGGTGGCCACGCGTGCCTTTAATCCAGCGCCGTGGAGGCAGCGAGGGTTGGTGGAGCACGTGGGCGTCGGGGTACCATACCAGGCTCGCCAGGAGAAGGCAGTACAGCAAATTGCCGAATCGCCATCTGTTTGCATCTGTACGGGGATAGAGTGTTTCCCCCTCGCGTGCGCGGGGGTTTCTCTGGGTTTTCCGGTTTTCTCCCACTGGTATAATAAACGTACATTGGCTGAAAACTTAAATCCAAATGCAAGACCCTCCTGAAAGAGCAACATGCCTCAGTTTGGCGTCCCTGAATAAATAAGTAAATTATTATGTTTAATTACATTCAGCAGGGTAAATATTTGTGTATAATTGGAGTGTTTTTTGCAGATCCAACAGCTGCTGCGGGTAATAGGGCTGCAGAGAAGGGGAGTTCTGTAATATTTCTGTCAATAAGTGGTGATGGCATATCTGCTTGAATCACTTCCTTCTTAAAATGCATTTAATTCTCCACGAGATCTCCGAGTAAAATATGTTGTGTTTTTGTTTTACGATCTGTTTTATATAGAATTATGTGCTGCGGCCCTTTGGTTTGCGAGCACTTATTGCACCAATTTCTTCTGTGCTGGTTGTTTAATGGGCGCTGCAGTTGTGAGTTGTTAACTCCCTCGCCTGGTATACAGGAGATCGTGGGTTGGATCCCCGACCCTGACGTCTTTATATTTGGAGTTTTCGTGTTCTCCCTATGGTCGTGTGGATTTGTCTCCGTGTCTCTCCGGTTTCCCCCTCCACATTTAGAAAAACGTCCATTTAGACTTTAGAGTATTTGGCTGCTGCTATACATTCCCACGTGACGAGCCACTTCGTTGAGCTGTCATTTGTGATGGACAGGTCGCTTCTTTAACTGGAATAGCTCAGTGGGCATTGCCTGGTAAAAACAAAAAGTTTAGTTTTAGTATAAAGGAACTCAATTATGCAATCTCCATGAGGTCATTGGCGAAGGAGATTGGTCTGCACACTCACAATATTAACAACATTGTATAATTATCACCAGGCCTCGTGGTGGAATGTGCAAGTCTCCAACTGCGACCCACACACTCATCTCTCTGGCCTCTCTCTGTATGTGCTGTGAAAAAAGAGGCCGTTCGTCCGACACGTCGCCTATCATATATGGTTCTATCTCATTATTGTAACAATAACAAACCTGTCAACCCCTTATCAGTGCCCGACCTTATTAACAGACCAATTCAGAGCTTATTGCTCAACCGGTGCCCCTTTAAATCTCAACGTTCATCCCACAAAACCCCATCGCAAGGGGGAAACACAAAACATAGACACAACATCTTGTTGCTGTTGTTGTTGCTGCCCGTATTGAAACGGCTGCACGCCGCATGGACCTGGAAACTCAGTTTCCCTGCACAAGAACACGGAGTTGTGAACCCTGATGGGTTGACATGGCACGCAATGAAACCGAGGTGCCACTCACTGATGGATAAGTGGAGATCTGTTGCTCATTAGCATAATGGGCGTGGCATGTGAGTGACGTCACCTCGCGAGTTCAGTGCACCGGCACTCGCTGGTCTGCAGGTTCGTCGTCCCGTGCGTGCTCGCATTCAATACTGAACGTGAACTTCGCCATAATTAAAGTGACGGCGGTTCCCGGCCGTCGGTGGCTGCGTGTGTGGACGTCGCAGGGAGTCGTCACGAAAGTCGGAGAGGCCCGGTTACCGTGGACGGATTGAGAGCGACTCCCGCGGGGTCCCGGGGAGACCGTCCTCGACTAGTTTCCCTGCCGGGGGAGACGCCGCACGTCCCGCCGGGACTGCCTGCGCCGAAGCGTAGGCCTCACCGACACCGATTCTGTGCGTTGATTACGTTTAAAAAAAACCATTGCCGTGTTTGACTTTTAACGTCTGCTGAGTTGGTGAGAGACAAAGAGGGCTTGTTTTTGTGGGGCTGTTATTATAATGTGTTATAATGCCGAATTTCGGAGTTTCCCTGCGATAACAGCAATGCTGAGCCATGTCCCGCCTCAACGTCGCGTTCCGTTCACGACACCGATTTCAATATCGAATCTCTCGAAACGATCACTTCGCTTTTACAAACTTGCACTCTGCATTTGATGACGTTCGGTCAAGCAATCTCCACGATCCGCACGCCTGGGCAAGACCCTCAATCGGCAGTGGATTGATTCGTTTACTGCGCAACGATTAGCGCGGTTGGCAACGTACGGTGCGAAAGAAGTTCAACATACATCGGAATCTGAATACTTCTCACGGAGGAATCCGATGAGCTATGAAGCTCTTTTTTTCCCACATGTCCAGTAGATGGATACACATCATATACACGTCTCGGGAACGCGTCTGTTTTCGAATCTACGTGTTCCTCTTTATGTATCTAATATATTTACATCATATTTATCCATTTACATCCTGTAATTGACGTTATATAATCAGCATCATGTATTGAATCGTAGAATATTGCGTAGTATTGACTGTCGTGATCAAGTCTTGAGGTTCTCGTTTGTGTTTTTGAAGACCAAATTTGATGATGACAAGAACCATTACTCGCATCAGTAAATGAGGAGACACCTCATCATAACTGAGAAATCAATATTTAAACTAAGAGAACCCTCATCACAGCAAAAACAATCAAACGTGTAAATGACAGGTAACCCCATCATAACAGAGAGATCAGATCCGTAAATGATGTGAAACATCGTCATATAAGAATCATCGGATTCGAGTCAAGCAACATACCAATGGGCCTGACGACGTTTTCAGTCGGTGTTTATTAATAGAGTCCCGTACCAGTGCCGGCTGGGTCATGTAGCCCGCATGCCCAGCCGCCGCATGCCCAGCCGCCGCATGCCCAGCCGCCGCATGCCCAGCCGCCGCATGCCCAGCCGCCGCATGCCCAGCCGCCGCATGCCCAGCCGCCGCATGCCCAGCCGCCGCATGCCCAGCCGCCGCATGCCCAGCCGCCGCATGCCCAGCCGCCGCATGCCCAGCCGCCGCATGCCTAAACAGCTTTTGTTTGACCGGATCGAGGGGGCTAAACGGGCGCGGCACGGGCTAGAGAAGAGATGGAGTGATGTGGTACAGGAGGACGTGGAGCTGAGTGGACTTGCCGATGACTGGTACCAGCGGTGTCAAGATCGGCCTCAGTGGAGGAGGCTCGTGAAGGACGCTACTGCTGCTGGGCAGTGCCAGGCTAGGTGCACCGTGAGGCTACTGGGCAGTTGGAGGCAGTCGCCCTCCAACAACAACGGAGGGCGGAGGAGCGACGCTCACAACAACGAGTGGAGCGCCGGGTGACTAAAGCACAGCAAGTTGGCACAGTAGGGGGCAGAGGTGGTGCATCGGCCAGTTGTCTCAGTCAGTGGACCCGTGGCACCTGCTAGGTCTGCCCCGTAACCTCCTGCCGGCGGCGTTCAACACTTGACGTGGCCTCAACGTACACCTAGCCTGGCACAAGCGTCGTGGTGACGTCACCGCCGCTTAGTGGCGAATGGCGGTTGTTTTTGTACCAGCTGTGACATAGACCAGAAGAATGATAACGAACAGATAAAAGGAAGCGAAAGCTAAACAGTGCGAGATAATTGGCGCATTAATTTTATTTACAGAGGCAGAAAGAGGAACAGATTAGCCGAGTACAAACCCGTGTCATCTCGTTTACCCCATGCAATACTGTACAGTATCGAATCACACATGTACTGTGAGTCTGATATAAATGCACCTGTGTACATGTAGAGCGATTTTATCCACTGCTGGATGAGAGCCTCCCACGCCGTGCGGCTCGTCGGGGTAATTTGACCATACTTCACCAGACTGGTCAGTGCGGGGTGGTTGAAAATCACTTGCATATTACCGATGTGGTTAGAACTACACCGCCCTACGTTGACACGACTGCAGACTAGAATCGTCTGTGAAACACGGCGCCTTCTTTATGGCCTTGCACTTGAAGAAGAGCATGAATACCACGTGGTAAACATTTTATTTGATGGCAATGAGGATAGACGTGGGAGCATAGAAGTGCATTACAGCAATAGATTTGTTTGTGCACCGACTTCTGCTGCTCACCACGTAGCCACTGCGCCACCCCTTGAAAAATGATTAAATTTACCATCGGGGAAGGTAGCTTCATTGGCCTGGCTTTCCCAGCTTACCCTGTCGAAAAAGCCTTCTCTTTCCCAGCAAGCATGCCCTTGGCCAAACACTCCATACACTCCTGCTCTAGTCACAGTGCCATCACGAAAGTGCTTCGTTTTTGTTGTCGCTTAAGTAGACGCCCACGTTGCATTGCCTTGCCCAGCTCGCCTACCTACACCTGTTTGCTCTCCTTGCTCCCAGGGACCATGTCCTCGGACACACACTCGTGCGTCATCTGCGGCGAGGTGGGGCTGTCGGCGTCCGAGGTGCAGACGCACTTATTCATCCACGCCGAGGTCTCCCCCTCGTGCCCATTCTGCTCCCTGTCGAGCATCTCCCTCGACGAGCTCCACTACCACATCGCCGTGGCGCACGCGGAGACGAGCGCTGGCAAGCCCTCGACGTTGCCGCCACCCGCCAGTCGGGAAAACGGAGCGCGAGGTGGGGCGGATGGCAGAGAGGCTGACGATGCGCTGAGTTCGGCTCGACAGCGACCGGCACCTTCACAAGGCCCCCGGAAGAGTCGCAGTCCCAGCGGCGGCCAAAAGGCAACATCCTCGCCGGATGGTGCCGACACGACTGACGGCGCTATGCCAGTGGTCGCCGCACGAGCCACTGACTCGACCCGTCCCCGTGGGGAGAAGTACGGGAGCTTCCTGGGCAGGCTCGGGGAATCCCAGAGTGAACGGCGGCGTTTAGACGGTGGCGTCTCTGACCGTGGCTCCCAGGAGGCGGAGGTGGAGGCTCCGAGTCCCTCACGTTGCAGACAAAAAGGCGTGGAGGTGCGTTGCGGTGAGATCGTGGTTCGTGTGAAATTGTTATGGAAGTTGATGGCTTTGTTATCGACTGTTGTTTTTACGTGCGGCCTTTTTTGTCAACTCACTGCTTGATGAGGGTGTCGCCATGCCATGCGGCTCGTAATTATTTTGACCATACATCACCCGACTGGTCAGTGCAGGTTGGTGAAGGCAGGAAGCATAGACGTCAGGACAAAATACCGTTCTTCAGTGATTTTTGCTGCATTGACCTCAGCTGCTTGCAACGTAACCCCGCAGCGGCCAACAACCAATTTGGCAAATTATAAAATCACCATCAAATTACTCAACTCGCAGTTACACCCAGCAGCAATCATTGCCACCTCCTCGCAGGCCAGGTGCTGAGTCACTTTGTGCACACAGGGATAGCTGCGACTGGGGATACCCTCTCGATTGTATGAGATGTGAAGTGGATCGCTCCGAGACACCTTGCCGTATACGGCGTTTATATAAAAAAATTATTATCATTATTAATCGCCCGTTTTATGCACGGTGGTCACCCATCAAAACATTATCCAAGTTCAGCCCTGCTTAACTTTAAAGATCTGAAGAAGCCAAGCTCATTAAATGCACAGTGGTGAGATGTTAACTACCTCGCCTGGTATACAGGAGGTCGTGGGTTCGATCCTGACCCTGACGCCTGCTCTATATTTGGAGTTTGCATGTTCTCTCTGTGGTCGCGTCGATTTTTCTCCAGGTCTTCCGGTTTTGTCCCTCCATATTTATAAACACGTTTTAAGAGTATTTGGCTGCCGTAAATTTCCACACGATAAGCCACTTCATTGGGCAATCATTTGTGGCCAGGTCGCTTCTGGAAAAGATAGTATTTTGGGTGGTCTGGTCATAAGCATGCTGCATTACCATTGGGTATTGATTTTGGCAGTTGTGTCCGTGGCTGTCGTCTCGTAGGACGTACGCGTGGAGTGCCCGTTCTGCGGGCTGAAGGAGTCGGGAGAACAGCAGATCCTGCAGCATTTACAAAGTGTCCACGCAGATGCCATGGACACTCCTCAGAAGGCCGCGTCACGACCGTCAAGTCAAGGTACCGGAGGTTTAAAATGCCTATGACGCTGATGGCAGTCGTAATTAATACCAATGTGAACGTGCGACGCGCCGCACAGTATTGGCTCGCTCTCTGAGAGACGGATAGCAACTCGTAGGTGCCGGGAACCACAGACGGACAAGCAGGAAGGGCAGCCATGCGGTGAGCCGGTACCAACAAATTGCCTAAGCTCTGTGATCCTCTGTCTATCAAGGTGTTATCAGTCAATGAATAAGCATTTGTATGTGGGAGGAAATGGGAGCGGCTGGAGAAAACCCACGCGTGCGAGGGGGAACGCTATCCCAAACAGATGGAACAAGTGGAGTCCGCACTTTGCTGCCCCGCGTTTTCGCCGGCGACCCAGGGTATGGCTCCTCCTTGACCCCCAGGGGAAGAGAGTTTGTCAACGTGTGTGTGTGCGACCCACCAACCCACGAAGCCTCCACAGCGCTGGATCGTGGGCGCGTGTCACCATCGCCCGGGCTCACTGCTGCAGAACACATCGACTTGTCTGCAGCGACAGACCCCACCACTTCCCCCTGGAGAAGATTTCACTTCCTGTGTCTCGTGACATAGGAATCCATGACGCTGGAAAATGAAGCCCATGGCATGATAGGGGCGGTGACGTGGACCATTGGAAGCTCGTTTTGGAGCTCCCTGCCGAGGTTCGTAATCTGAATCCGGCAAGCTCCCCCCGGTAAACGATGCGGGGTGTAGTAACCGAAAAAATACGCGTGCATTTGCCTCACACGGTGGACGTTATAGATCCCACGACGTAGGCCATGTGTGCCGGAATCTTGGTCAAAACCTGACGAATTTTTTATATTTCTCGCAATGCCACGTCGCAACATTGTCCTCGGAGTTAGCCTTGTGCCGCACAAGGACATCTGTCACCAGGGGGTCCCTCTCAGTCAACTTAACCCCCACGATCCCTCAACAGCACGGGGAGGCCCTCCATCCAGCAGTGGATTGACAGAGGCCCGTGCAAAGAGGACGCTTATTTCCAGGGTCGGCGGAGAGTGTCTGGCGGCCGGCCATAGGGGGGTGCTTTCACAAGCGGGTGTGTTGCCTCTGTAGGTGGGGAGCGGAACATGGGCAGGGTTGCGTGTCCGGTTTGCGACACCACCCTCTGCTCGGAACGGGAGCTGCAGCTGCACGTGGAACAGCATTTCTCCGGAGGTTCGTCACCGCTTCACGGTCAGCGATTTTTAGATGCGGAATCGGTTGTCGATTCCAAAAGCTGGCGTGATAATCAATTATAATTGATCGATTTTGTAACGATCGGACCGATTGACACGCGAGAGCGCGTGCGCATGTTTCTACATGCGTGCGTCGGTGCGTGCGCGCGTATACGCCCATGTGCGACAATGCGAGCTTGTGTACGCCCATGCGTGTGGGCTTTTGCACGTGCAAACATGTGTTTGTTTGTGCATGTGCGCACATGCGTGTCTACACTACACCCCCAGAGGGTGCAGTGTAGCGGTTAGCGCTACGCTGCGCTACGGACCAGGCGACCCGAGTTCGATTCCCGCTCACAGCCAACACCGGTGACGATTATCTGAACCGGTCCTGGGCATCCCCTTGGTTGACTTGGCCTCAAATGAGTGCCCGGTGCGATGTGTACACATCGCCACTGGGGAGACAAAGGCGGCAGGGCATGGTACTGGCCACCCACCCCCTCGTGTTGCCGTGCCGGCCTTCGCAGGTACTCACCAACAGCACTTGCCCCCACAGTCTGTTGCAGGCTGCATGGGGGATCTTTGTCTTTGTGTGCGTGCGTGAAATGCGTGTTTAAACGTTCTTGTGCACTTTTGCATGCCTGTGTGAACACGTGTGTGTGTGTGTGTGCGCTTGTGTGTGTGTATATGTGCGTGTGTGTGTGCGTGCGTACGTCCCGGGATGCAGGCGAAGTTGGCGCACTGGAGGATGAACTGCTGGCCGAGGCGCTGCAGAACGAGGAAGTCGTGCGGCGCCAGGAGGAAGACCGGCGAGAGAGCGAGGAGTTCCGTCGCCTGCAGGTGGGAACGAGCGCGGGCGCCAACCGCGGAGGCAGCGCAGCACAGTGGGATATGGGAAATGAAATGATCCGAAATTTTCAAAAAGTGCAATCCATCACTCAAATCACCAAACAATTCCCAATATGCATTTTTTCTGGAGGTACAAACGAAATCCATCTGGCGACCCCAGACGCCATCATTTTGCTTTCCAAACTCAACGTTGAGCCATAAACCCGGTCCGTGGAATTCGCAAAAAGATTTGCTCAGTGAGGTGTTACTGCACCATCACTCGATTCATGAATACGATACTAGCCGTGAAGGTGGTCCCTTCTTTCTCACCTGGATATCTGCGAAACCTGGACATCTGTGGGAAAAGAGCTTTATAGCTCATCGGATTCCTGCAGTATAAATAAATATTCTAATTCCGGTCGACCCGGCCAAAGTGGGTACGTCGACCCCGGCAGTGACAAACCTAGCGAGGGGTGGGGGGGGGCAACGTGGGGCTGCGTGAGCGCGCTGTTGCCACCGCCGCCTCAACAAACCGCGCCGTTGTGCCCGCCCGCCGTCGTTCCACGCGTCAGCGCGAGCACGGCATGGACGGGCGCGGGGGCTTTGCGCGCCAGGCCCAGCGCAGCCTGCAGAGGGACATGGAGCGCGGCGCCATCTCCCCGCTGGAGCTCCACGAGCGCCGCGCGCAGCTCCTGCAGGGCCTCGCCGACGGCCGCGACGACGGCAACACGCGCACCGCCGGTGAGGGCCCGGCGACACCGCCGACGCGAAGCACGCGGCGTCCGGCGGCGGGGTAAGCCAGACAGAGGGCGACTGTGTAGCCCCTTCTTACCTGGTCAAATAGAACAAGGCACCGCGGTGGTGAGAACTACCTCGCCTGGTGTGCAGGAGGTCGTGGGTCCGATCCCGACCCTGACACCTGCTGCTGTCTATTTGGAGTTTGTGTGTGTCTCTACGTGGTCGCGTAGATTTTCCTCTGGGTACTCCAGTTTTTCCCTCCACATCACGCGTTTAGAGTATTTGGCTGCTATACATTTCCACACGATAAGCCACTTTGTTGAGCTATCATTTGTGGCCAGGTCAATTCTGAAAAAAAGCTATATCGCTCAGTTTGCCTTACCTGGTAAAATATAAATAGTATAGTACTTTTCTAATCGATTCTCATGCCCACGAACCATCGAATCGTTGGTATAATAATTGGTATATTTTTTACAGTTTATAGGCATAATGAAACCTTTCCCGTTGCGATGACGTACGTTTTTCTTCTGATTCCGTTTCCAATGACGTATGTGTACATGTACGTTATTGGAACGGAACCGATGACGTACGTGTACGTCATCAGAATGGAACTGCAAGAAAAAATTGAATATCTTTATCAGTACTGAGGTGCAGTCATCTCGGAACGGGAAAGGGTTAAACGGAAATATCACGGTCGGGTTACAGGAATGAACAACACTTGAATGATCGGGGCAGAACGAGCAAGACGGAACGACGCACGACGTTGAACACACGAGGAGGGGGGATGTTAGCCGGGCAACAATTCACCGATTTAAATGAACTCCTCCCGACGTACGGCACTCAACACGCTTGGGGGGTTCGGCATGGTGCCATCTTATTGTGCAGCTTGGAATGTATCATTAGGATAATCTATTAAATACTTCAAGCCTAGCGTTGTTAATGGGTGCACCACAGTCAGCCGATTGGCAGGTCACATGGTGGGTAATGCTTGGATGCTCCCACCTCTTCCACTACGTCCATTCAGCGTGGAAGATTAGACCAAAGTACCCCATTGAGAGGCTCGCAAGAGCTCCCTCCGGTGAAGGCTCTTCCACCAGCGATGACACGAGCACGCAATTGCAGGTCTGCAGCTACTATCGACCTTTTAAATCCTTCCCGAGTACAAGCGCATGTTAAGAATCTACGCGCACGCACGAACGCCTCTGGTCCTGTGCTAGCTGAAGCCTCTCCCTCCCCCCGCCGCCCGGCACTTGACCGCACGCTCGGCGTGGATCCCAGGCCTCACGGCGGCGCTCGCAAGGGTCTACGGCACGGGCGCGGCGGTGCGGGACGTGGCGCGCGTTTGGCTCGCTGCCGACACGAGCCACTACCGGGGCGATGGCGGCGACCGGGGCTGGGGCTGCGGCTACAGGAACCTGCAGATGCTCATGTCGAGCCTGGCGCGACTCGACCGCTTCAGCTTCCTGGGGCTGCAAGGTACAAACGAGGGCGTCTACCCCCCCCGCGCGCCCTGGAAAACTGATAGTCGAATAGTTTGTTTTATTTACAGGGTGCCCATCGCTCGAGGCGCAAGATGTGGTTTTGGGGAGAAAAAAAACGGCGACAGAATGAAATGATGTAGGCGGCGGGGGGCGTGCTATAAGGAGTGACTGTGATCGAAGGGTAATTATGGATCACGAGAGGGTTTGGGAGGGACGGGAAGGACTGGAGGAGCGAGGGGAGGGAAGAGGAAGAGAATGGGCAATGGAGAGTTAAAGTTGGGTTGCTTCCATATAATTTTTTGCCGTGCTATATATCGGAATTTAAGTGCAATGAATAAGGGTCATTGCCCGAAACGTCGCCTCGTATATTTGTCCTCTTTAGGCAATGTTTTAACAAACCTGTCACGTTGTGTGTGCTTGTGCACCACTGCCAATGCAGTATCACCAAATAATCAGGTCTCATTCGACTGATTGACTTGGTCTGTGAGAATTGTTCTTCAAATTACCGGTGAGCCGAAACAATGGTGCGTTAACGCTTGCACACGTGACGATGTAATTTGTTTGGCTACGTCGGGTGGTGGACGAGCTTACGACACATTTTTGTGTAATGTTTTATCGATTGGCCTGGATAATGTGCAGACAGAACAGAGTTCCGCTTTGTATATGCATCGTGGGTTTGTACTCAACTTCGTCCCACTGGGTTAAAGTTCATGTCGCCCCCCTCTCTGGCCTGGCTTGGCAGGCGGCGCCCGGATGCCGGGAATCCCGCGGCTGCAGGCGCTGGTGGAGGCGGCGTGGGAGCAGGGCTTCGACCCGCAGGGGGCGTCCAACTTCGCCGGGAAGCTGCGGGGCACGCGCGCCTGGATCGGCACCACGGAGCTCTACGCCCTGCTCACCTCGCAGCGAGTGCGGTGCGTGCGGTGTGACCGGCAAATACCGGTTACACCGTGTTGTTTTGTGTCGCTATGGGAGGGAACCAATGCGGAGCAGAGGGAGAGAACATACAAACTCAACACAGAACGGCGCCCAAGTTGGGAATCGAACCCGGGCGATTCTAGCCGAGGCACGAGCAGCACCGTTGCGCCAGCTTGCCGCCCTGCCGCCTTGCTTTGCCGTGTTGATTTTGGCGCCACGGTGGCGAGATGTTATCTCCCTCGCCTGGTATGCAGGAAGTCGCAAGTTCGATCCCGATCCTGACGATACCTGCTGCATATTTGGAGTTTGCATGTTCTCTCGCTCCCTGTTGTCATGTGTATTTTTCTCCGGGTCCTCCAGTTTTTCCCTCCACATCACGCTTTTCGAGTATTTGGCTGCTATAAATTTCCACATGCTGATAAGCCACTTTGTTGAGCCATCGTTTGTGATAGCCAGCTCACTTGTGAAAAAGAACTATGTAGCTCAGTGGGCCTTACCTGCTAGAATAAAACACGGTTTATAGTTTAGTTTGACAGTCTCCCATTTGCTCCACTGGTCCCGCGTGCACAGCTGTCGTGTCGTGGACTTCCACCGCGCCACGGGGGAGGGCGGCACCCACCCGCTGCTCTTCGCGTGGGTCACGGATTACTTCCGGGGCGGGGGTCATGAGCGGGTGCCCCCGCCGGCTCAGCTCGTGGTGTCCACTCGGCTGCCTCCGCTCTACCTGCAGCATCAGGGTGAGACCTGGCGCGCAACAAACATTCGCCAGCTGGTGGTGGTCATCATCATCATCATCGCCGCCGCCACTTAATTCATTCCGCGCCACCGTACCGTGCAGTACATCTTGAGGCACGAGAGCAAAGGGCTTTTTGAGATAATTACTCACTGAGTAAGTCATTGCAGACGAAATACAATGTTCGCAAACAACGCAGTATCGACAATGTAACAAATGGGAATACAAATTTAATAACAAGCTAAACTGTGCTCGGGTCTTCTCTGCATTGCCCACTTGGTACAGTTGAAGAGGAGTCGGAGACTGGTGAAGAGCTTCTTTATTCTTTAAACCACAGCCACACTCGTTCCTAAAACCAACCCCGAACACGCGTTTAACAGCCCCTCTTAAACCCTCCATCTCCGCCCTCGTTCCCAATACACGTTCCCAATACACATCTCCGTCTCGCACGCCGACGTCAGTGCCCTTTAACCCTTGACCCCCGTCTAGTGCGTGTGATTTCATGTCTGCGTGGTGCGAGTGCGTGATGGCTCGCAGATCCCCTACACCAGGGGTCTGCAACCTTTAAGACATAAAGAGCCACTTGGACCCGTTTCCGAAGGAAAAAATAAACTGGGAGCCGCAAAACCATTGCGACATTTAAAACAAATATAACACTGCATATATTGTTTCTTACCTTATTGCTATATACAGGATCGTGCAGCCAGCTGTCAATCTGAATAAAAAAAGGACTTTTTCACTTAACAATGTAAAATATATTTTTGCAAATTAATAGCTAAATTACCTGGTTAATGGGATTTTTGCTCCTGAACCTCAGTGCACAGTGTCTGCACATCAGGGCTGTAAGACGTCACCTTCATTTTCACACAGGCTTGCAAGCTGTCATCTGTGAGGCGTGATCGATGTTTGTTTTTAATATAGTTCATGTTGGAGAAGACCTGCTCACATACATATGTGGAGCCGAAGATCGACAGGACTCCAAATGCATACTTTTTCATGTTTATATAAGTGTTGGGGATGGCATTCCATGTTTCGAATACAAGTTTGTCCTGTTTGGGAAGGTTTTCAATATCACTCCATTTATGATTCTGAGCCATAATGGCCTTCTGACGGGCAACATCCTCAAGAGTAGCGGTCAAGCATTTGAACTTGGACACCCATATATCTTTGTCGGCTATATCGGCCAGTTCCATCTCAAGATCAGGTTGACTTACACCTGCAAATGCAGTCATATTCAATAGGGATGGATCGATCGCCAGGGGAGTGACAGGGAAGGATGTCGTTTTTTCCTCTCTGAACTCACAGAATCGTTTCCCAAACGAACTTTGCATTGTGGTGATTGCAGACTTGAAATATTCCAAATTTATCGTATCATGACTTTGTTTGAACTCTCTCAAAGAGGGAAAGTGAGACAGTGTACCTCTCTGTAAATCTTTGACAAACACTGTCAACTTGCGCTCGAATGCCAAAACCTCCTCCAGCATGTGCAGGGCTGTGCCTCCTTTCCCCTGAAGGGTTGTATTTAGCGTGTTTAGATGTGCTGTCATGTCTACCAAAAAATGTAATTTTTCCAGCCACTCTGGCTGTTCCAGCTCAGCAAAGGTGAGCTCTTTGCTGCCCAGGAAGGTTTTTACTTCTTCCAAACATGTGACAAAGCGTTTTAGCACCTCGCCTCTGGACAGCCACCGGACCCTTGTTGTGGAGCAGGAGGTCAGAATATATGCTTTCCACCTCATCCAATAGCAAACGGAACTGGCGGTGGTTTAAACCCTTTGCCATTATCTTATTAACAATCTGAATGACCACATCCATCACTTTTGTGCATTCCGGGGGAAATGTTTGAGCACACAATGCCTCTTGGTGCAGGATGCAATGAAATAACAGCAGCGTTCTACCCAGCGCCTTCTGCAGTAGAGCCACAAAGCCCTTCTGTGCTCCTCTCATGCTCGGTGCCCCATCAGTAGCCACTGAGACCAGGTGGTTGGTGTTTATTTTTTTAGCACTTAAAAAGTCCAGGACAGCCTTACAGATATCCTCACCCCTTGTTTGGTCTTTTAGTGGTATCAGCTCAATCAGTTCTTCCTGTGGCCCAAAAGAGTTCACATATCGGCAGAGCAGCGCTATTTGTTTAATATCACCTTTATCTTTGGACTCATCACAGGCGATGGAGTACGCCACAGCTGAATTAATGTCTTGAATTTGCTGTTTGCTAATGTTTTCTGCCATTTTTAGGGTTCTGTCTTTGACAGTCTTCGCAGAGAGAGGCATGTCTTTGATTTTCTGCACAATTTCATTCTTGTTTTTGAAGTCCATGTATAGATGTTCCGAAATATTAATGAATGCTTCTTTTATATACTCTCCATCTGTGAAGGGCTTCCCGTGCTTGACTATTTCCTGAGCGGCCACAAAACTAGCATATGTTGTGGAATTTTCAGTCTTCACCCACTTCTTGAAATTATTTTTGCTCATATTAACCTTCCTCATAAGTTCTGCAATGGCTTTTCGTCTCTCATCTCCATCTGGATATTTTTCAGCAAAGGCTGTGTGTTTATTCTGGAAATGTCTTGCAATATTCGACTTTTTGTTGTTTGCAAATTTCTCACCACATATTAAGCATACTGGTAAACCAGTCTCGTCAGTAGAGAATGCGAATGATCCTGTCATTCGCATTCGGCAACGTTATTGCCTGTCACCGGGCGGGCAGTGTGGAGCGGAGCGGCGACCTGTCAGCAGCGGCAACGCCAGAGCAGGTGTCACAGTGCGCCTCCTCCCCTCGCTAGCATCCGCCCCGGAGCCGCGGTCAAGGTTCAAAAGAGCCGCATGCGGCTCCGGAGCCGCAGGTTGCCGACCCCTGCCCTACACAGTCACCAATAATATAAACGTTGCTGATGATGCCGTTTCTGAGGTTGTTGATATCGCTGCTATTTGTCGGTGATGTTTTTGCTCAGCATTTTCACACTGCTGTGAGTGATAGCCCTCGTTAATGTCCTTGACCTTTCTGACCTCGCTGTGCAGGTCACAGCCGCACGGTGGTGGGGCTGGAGGAGAGGCGAGATGGCACTCTGTGGCTGCTAATCTTCGACCCGGCGCACAGCGCGCAGACAACGGACCAGCTACTCCGTGCCGCCACCGGTAACACCGCCGCCGCTGCCGCTGCCACCGCAGCTCTCCGCCCGTTCCGTCGGCCCGTCGGGGCTTTGCGGCACCGCCAATACCAGGTTCTGGCGGCCGAAACGACGGAGCTCACCGACGCAGAGAGAGAGGTCAGCGCGTACGAGAGTCATGGCCACACGCACACACACCTCCCCTACAGACAAGAGGGCACGGCCTCATAGGGGAGTGGGCGGTCAGAGCGGATGCCCAGGGTGCAAAGCTAGGAGGGGTGCCAAATATGCATTCGGTATAAAACCGGGGTGATAAAGCTTTACCTTATTGAGCGCCAAATAGGATTGTTTTCATATCTCTGGAGGGTAACCACACATTAACACAGGTCTCAAGTCACTTCTGTCACTGCGAGACGCCCTTGCAAACTAGAAACGGCGTTGTTGCCAGGTCGGAAATATTCCCCCCCAGCACCCGATTAGTGCGGCTCAGGTCCTCGCATGTGGTGGACAAACGTCGCTTGTGGGCTGCTCCGGAGCGTTAAGGCCTCGATTCCATCTCAAGCCGGAAGAAACGAGGCTCATCGGGCCGTAGGTTCCTCGCCCCTTCATCTTATTTTTTGTACGCGACATCAAAGCGTGAAACGTATGTTGGGTTACCTCCCTAAGCCGTTGCCATCTCTCAACAAATAACAACGCCCAGTGTTACCACCAGTGGACTATTTTCAAGGGGCGATTCGTCACTCGTCGTCGCAGTCCGGTCATAAATCACTCCACCGATTTCTCTCCATTGCCCGCACCTCTCGCTGCGCACTCCCATGCCCAGCACGTGCCAACTAACTTCTCTCTCTCTGTGCCATCGTTGTATTCTTTGTTCTCCGGACGCAGGCCCGTCGCACGGCTTCCCAGGTTTTCGTGGCCGAGAGGATTCCCTGACGCACCGTGGTTGGGGGACCGCGTGCCGGCCCGCTCCCTGCCGCCCCTACAAGCGGGGGGGGAACCCTCCAACCCTCCCGTCACTCGACACGGCCGAGAACGCCTTTGCCTCGCTTTGCTGCAACGAGTCCCAAAGTCGACGAGACAAAAATGACGATGTCAGGATTCAGGACGGCCGTGGCGTCCACAAATGCATTGTGGTTTGGAGATTTGCCGCCTTCTTTGTTTGCCAAACGTGCCTGGTGCCTTTTGTGTACGGACAGGGTGGTACAACAACGTCGTCAAGTTAAGAACCTTACAGTGGCTCGATCCATTGCCCTGCAGGCTGGGAGATTGTCGATTGAGGTTCGGCCGCCAGGCTGATGGTGACACGAGGTCGCGCTTTCTCACTTAACAGTGGGCCGGGTTAAGGCTGCCATCTTCCACTCAAACATTACAGTGAGAGCTGCAGATACTCACCAAGTCTGCCCAGGGATAGATCACAGTCTTTTTTAAAGCTTGCAATAAAGCGTTTTTATATTTTTGAAATATATGTTAAGTACGGTTGTGACTGCGCACATTGACGCCCGTGTGCCTACGCCAGGGTTCAGCCCATCTTGTTAGTGTAGCCACACCACGTGATACTCATACCCAGCCCTGAGATGAGGAAACGATTTAAAGTGGTGGATGATGTCATGTTCTGATGACCGAGTGAAGCTGGTGGTAAATGATCATGATTGACCTCCGATTATCACGGTTGGCTACGTACGGTGCAAAATTTCTACGTACATACCTACATTGTGAATGTTGTGTTGTGGGTTTACTCTCCAACACACCCGTGTGCCGTACTAGTACCGAATTGGCATGTTGTGTTTACGTGACAAACCTTACCAATTGGCTGTCGGGTGGTGGTGGCGGGTTTAACGACATTTACGCAATCTCACCCAAAAAACGGAATATGAACCTACATGATCGATTCTCCTTCCTTGTGTTTCCTCTCACTCACGTGGGCCTGACCTTCCTGCGCTGCTTCTACACTCGCTTGTCCTGGGCCATCACCTCCAACATCCAGTCCCACGCATCCCCGACACACCGCCTCGCTTCTTGGTCTACCTGTACCTTTACACCTTTTGATAATTGACGATTATGTTTCAGCGGTTTAGGGGAATTGAGACATCCCGGCGTAGACGCTTGCTTTGTCGAAATCAAATCTTTGCCGATGATGATTTGTGAATTTGGTTGGTATTTTAATTCGTGAAAGGAAGCCCGATTGCCGTCCCAGCCGAGCCGGATCTTGGCCCCGGTGAAGTCCCCCCCCATCATCATCACCGTTGAGAGACGCTGTCATCACAAACGATTCACCCCTCGAGCGTCGATGTAAAAATGTTTATTCCGGTGTTGCGTCACGCCGGTTGTCACGATGAGATGGAAGGCGTGCACACGAGCGGGTGAATCGACGAGCGAGCTTCAAAATAATTGGGCCAATAATACTTTGTCATTGTGTGCACTACTGCGCGTGTCCTACGACAGTAACAGTGCTTGGAGGATTCCACCTCCCGCGTTGTATAACAAAGGCAGGCAACGCTTCAAACGGAGCCTCGTGCATATGAAGCCGGCAGGTGAATGAAGACAAAAGAATCGACACGCTATCGTGGAGGCCTGTGGTACTCCACGGGACACGACATCGCACGCACGCAGCCAGGGTGGACAATCACGCTCCTCCGACGCGTCGCGTAGGTAGAGTAGTTTGTAGTGTACTCGAGCGTGGGGCCTCTCAGTTCTCGTCACTGTCCAGATCGGCGGGGTTAAAGGTCGGGTCATCGTCCTCATCGTCGTCTTCGTCAATGTCCAGGTCCTCCATGTCTTGAAAGAGCGACTCGTCCACCTCCACGTTGTCTCCTGCGCAGGGCGGGGGAAGGGTGCGGGATGAGGGGTGCGGGCACATGAATCCCACTGCTCACGGCTTCCAACAGAACCACAGTGACCAGTGCGGTGCCCCCCCCGCCTCCCGTGCAGCGCGGCAAGGAAGGAGATGACTTGTGGCAACACCAGAAGCCACGCACACACGCACGTGTACTATACAATGTGGATTTATATTGCATGGACATTTTCCCCACATCTCAAGGCACTGTACAGAAAGAGCAAATTTGTTTTGTAGATAAAGGGGCAGTGAAAGTATCCGTGCCTGGGTCCCCGCGTGAGTCTTTACAAAACAATGTGAATTTATGGAGCAGCGTCTGAAGATGCTGGCTGGGGGAAAGGCGGTTCCACAGAAAGCGGCCAAAACACCTCCCACGGAGCGAAGGTTGACTTTGAACTTAACATCAAGCACTGGATGCTCGCGCACAGCCCGATCTGTGCGTCTTCCCTGCACCGATTAGGACAGGTGGTCACGTACGGTGTGAAAGTAGTTTGGCATACATTCATACGTCTCGGAGTGCCAACTACCAGCGTTCCCATTTCTGCCGCACCACCCAGAGCAAATAAGTGTGTGAAATGAAAGCGAGTCCAAGGTGCTGCCAAAAGGCTCCACCCACGTACCTTCCTCCAGAAACTGCATGTCGGACGTGTCCAGGTTTCTGTCCGTCTCAAACAGCTGCTTCCCTGTGTGTTTAGAGAAAGAGAGATGGAGGTTGGCGCATGTGGGTCCATTCAACATCAGCGGTTATACTCGAGGTTTATTCTAAAGCAGGGGTGGAACCTACTTTCCATTCGTGATTATCCATCACTGCACAAGTGACTGTCCGTCACTGAAGCATATTAGCTGCACTAATCGTGCACAAGAGTAAAATATTTTCGACCCAATAACAACAACACGTGCTCAAGTCACTGCTGTGAGCACAAGGGCCCCTCTGGGCAGCTGGTCAATGCGCATGTTACTTTTCACTTTCAAAATTCATTGTGCTATACGTTGACGTTTCCATATCTGTGGTGTCTGCCTTCATCAACCAATGCTACATTCGTTTACTGAGCTAATACCAAATACAACGTGTAATTGAGTCAAAATGAACACGATCGAACAGGCAGATATATATACAGTAGACTTATACGATTTGTGGATTAACCGCGCACCTGAGATAATTACTCATGGATTTTCCCTTAAGCCCAAATTAATCATCTAAAGACAGTTATACATTGTTATTCTTGGAAATGTTTACGACAAGAAACTGCTTAAACCGAACAAATATGTGCTCCGGTTAATCTGAAATACACGTGATCGCCTCTACAGAACAACAGTTGCATATCTTTACAATAGTGGGCGGAGTTTGTTTGATGTTGATTGGCGTGGCTCTGCTATCACCCACTTAGTAGGCCGAGTCTGCTGTGTGGGAGCAGGAAAGTTATCACAGAGCACATGCGTCGATCGTTAGTATTCGATCTAAATCGTTAGTTGCGCTTACAAAAACAGAAATACCTATATTAGTGATTTTTGGGACAGATCTGCAGAAAATTAATATTTTGGATTATCTGCCATTTTTAATTCGCGGCCGTCCTCCCCGTCATTAGCACTGCTAATCGAGAGTCCACTGTATACACAACTTCTCTAATGAAGGGTCTCAGCATGACCATGTTTTTCAACTCGCAAAAATATAAAGACGTAGCAGGTGAAGGTGCAGCCCTGTGCAATTGGTTGCTAATGCCACTACTTGCAGACGGGGCAACCCCTTGAGGGAGCTCTGGAGAGAGTACCCTGCTCTGGAGGATATTTCGCCTACTCATCCACGCCAGCCAGACAGTCCTGGGAGAGATCGGAGTACCCACACGCTCCCCGGCGACATGCGACAGCCGTGTCGTGACGTTACCTGAAAGCTTCGATTTCCCAATTTGCTCTTCCTCTCGCAGTTGTTTCTTCTTTCTCATTTCCAACCTCTCTTGGTCAAACTTCGCCTTCCAGGAAAGGAAGTTTTCGATCGTGACTGGTGTGCCATGGAAGGTTACCTAGGGCAACACACCGGGTGGGCGATCACGGTATAAGATGCTGTGCTGTGACCATGTACGTATTTTTCGAGCGCTCTCTGGTGTGTGTTTTCGGGTTGTACCGCGCGTGTCCCGATGTTTTGCTCCACACGTGCTGGAGCTAAAGAACCTCACGCCACTTGGGAGTGAGATGTCGGACATCGTGCTGAATAACAAGTGCCACAACGCGAGAGCGAGGCGGCACAACGGTGGAAACCAAATTTGACATTCCACACATTACCCGCAAATTACTCATTTGGAATATAAATGGCGATCAAATGCCTCCCCAAGTTAAAAAAACTTGGCAGGACCCTCTGGAAAAAGAGTAATGATAATCAGGCTTCCCTGGGTAAACAAGCGTGATAATACTATTAGGTTATGACGAGTACACCCAAACTGCAAGCTAAACTGAAAAACTAAACCAGGGAAGGCCCACCGAGCTATGTAGCTTTTTTCAGAAATCGCCTGGCCACAAATAATAGCTCAGCGAAGTGGCTTATCACGTCCAAATTTATGGCAGCCAAATACTTGAAACACATGCCTCTAAATGTGGAGGGGAAAACCGGAGGAACCAGAGGACCCGGAGAAAAATCCACACGACCACGGGGAGAACATGCAAACTCCAAATATACAGGCGTTAGGGTCGGGATCGAACCCATGCCCCTCCTGCACACTCGGCAAGGTAATTCATATTTTTCCCCCTCTGCAACAAGTGGAATAGCTCGGCTCTCGTCCGTACCTTTTCGGCCTCCTCGGCCTCCCGCTGTTGCCGCTGCAGGTCCTCTTCTTTGACAACTTTCATCTGATCAACGAGCTCGTTGAGTCGCTCCTGTACGGCGGATGCGAAGGTGAAAATCATCGCCATGCCCAGGTTCTCCGTGGCCTTGGTATTGCACACGTGCACACGTGACACACACACACAAGCGCACCGTCAAATTTCGAGCACAGCACCCAATTTCTTGGTTGAGGCGACAAAAAAACCTCGCAAACGGTCAACTGAAGAAAAAACCATCGGCAGCACAGCTCCAACAGGCTGGCTTTGCACAGCTCAGTTGTGCAGTAAAACAAAAGAGGTAAAAGTCAATCTGTATTTCCGGGTCATCTTTGGCCCTGTTCAAGCACGGATGTGCCAGTGGACAAAGATGTGGGAGGTTCTGGGTCATAGCTGGCCCTGTTGTCAGCGCCGTGGCCCCCACCTGCTCCTCCAGCAGCCGTGTGATGTCGGCGACATCTTCGTCCATCAGGTTCTCCTGGCCGACCACCTCGAAGAGCGGAGGTTCATCGGGGTACTTCTCCACGTATGTGAACTTGAGCGTGACCTGCACATCTGCGCGACGCAGCGCAACCGACGAGATTACGCGTGGTTGGTGGCGGTTAAGTAGGGTGTTGAGATATTGGTGGTGATGGTGGTTGAGTAAGGTGTGGGAGAGGTGGTGGAGGTTGAGGATGCTATTGGGACGGTGGCAGTGGGTGGTATTGGTTGGATTGGTGATGCAGGTGGTGAGGTTGTGGTTTGGTGGTGGTGGCTGGGTGAAGTTCTGGGATGGTGGTGTCACATGGCATTAGTGACGTCACTTCGCGCGAACACATTCATTTTACAAAACGTAAATGAACGAAAATCCAAAACATAAGTCTTGAAAAAAACAAAAGATTTGAAATCCGCAACCCATCCCAAGTGCACGATGAGTAATGTGGTCATACCTTGATTGCTGTCGTCTCCGATGTCAGAAGTCAGTGTGATCGTGAAGGCTGGCGGTGCGACTGTCAACACTGCCAAAGGGTGACAAGATTTGTTAGCAGGTACAGTAAAACCTTGGATTGCGAGCACAATTCGTTCCCGAAATGTGTTTGTAATCCAAAGCACTCGTATATCAGTTGTGATCACGTGACGCTCGGCAGACAGCGTCGACAAGTGCTACTCGTATTGCAAGACCTCGCTCGTTTATCAAATTTATATTTATTTTAAATTGTTGCTCGTCTTGCAAAACACTCGCAGACCAAGTTACTCGCAATCCAAGGTTTTACTGTACCAGGGATTTTCAGAGTTTTTTTTCCGTAATTTTATTCAAATGGTGCTATTGCCATCAATTATATTCCTATTCAAATTCCTACAACGAGCTGTGCACCGCCTTTTGTCAGAGGACAGCCCTGTTAGATGATCCATATATAACCACTGTACAAGTATATCAAAGGTCATTTAAGCAGACCTCTATGTTGACACAAGAGGCACACATATTACTTGCTCTGCGACGAGTGTTCAGCGCATGTCAAGCAAACCAAACCATTTGGTTCTCAGAGCTGAACATTTTTACTTTTGTGTGTGTAACTCACTAAACTGAAACCCCGGCCCGATTTGAACCCAGGCCTTCGGTGGCACTGGCTCATTATCGACAGGGCATTATCCCCAAGTCACCCAAGCCATCTCACCAATACTCACTCAATCTCCTTGACCGTTGCGTCATACTTAAGGAGAGCACTTTACGTAACAATATGCGAACTCTGTTTAATCACCTGGATTTGAACCCAGGATTTCAACGGTGCTGGCTGAGAGTTGCCTAGCAGGGATCTCCATGCAATGAGGATCCCCAAAGAACCGGCGTTACGAGTGCCTGGCTAGGATTTCTGACAGCAGAGCCTGTTTCGACTTGCGTGCGACTACTATTAAGCCCACGCGTGCATGCATTAAATACAAACAAACTGCAACGATGCAGGCAAAGTGCTGAGATGTGCTAATTACAGTGGGCTCGATTAAAGCAATTTTGCAAATCAAGAATTCAAGCAGCCTTTCATGAGACCCAAATGAATAATTGGTCTCGCACACACCCACACATTGATGTAACGTTGAATAATAAACATAAATCGACCTCGGTGGATTATAATTTGAATAGCTTCTCACATTCAAAGAGGCATTAAAACATTTCAGTCAAATAACAGTAAGTACTATGAATGAATACGAATATAAATGTGCTCATTATGGCACTTGCCCGAACAAGAAACAGTATTCCTAACTCTGGCATCAGCTGTTTGTGAGATGAGCAATTACTCTCAAGCAAAGGTTACCAGTCCAATCTGCCGGTGTGACAGCTGCAAATCCCACCGCCACTTCTTCGCAGTTTACACAGGTACCGTATATCTATATCTAGACGGTATCGTATACAAACCGTGTCAACCCACACGGTTTACCCGTTTCCCTGTACAGGGAAATTGAGTGTTTAGGTCTACACGGCGTACAGCCACTTCAACACGGGCAACATAAAAAAAATTGTGTTTCTCCCTTGTGATGGAACTTTGTAGGATGAACGTTGAGATGTATAAGGGCACGGGGTGACCAATAAGATCCGATTGGTCTGTTTTCAGGTCGGCACTGATAAGGGGTTGACAGGTATGGGTATACCACAGTTAATTGATCGTCAGGTCACTAATGGTGGGGTAAACTGCGGGTATTCCCATCTCTTTAATTTCTGGCGTGGAAGAGTAGGCAAATACCACATAGAAGAGCTCTAGAGCTAGGAGGTTCATCTCCCAGCAGTGGTGTAAATTATTCACTCTATAGAGCGCTTTTCATCGATGATCTCAAAGCGCTGTACATGACACAGCAGCAGCAGCAGCAGCAGCAAATGAGCAAGACATTTCATGGCTGCACCTTTAAAAAATCACTCGGGGTGACAAAAAAACCCACAACAATTGTAATCCGAATCCTGATACCATTTAATTGAGTCCATTTATCTAAAACACGTTACTTTAATGGAAAATTGTTCAACCAGAAATTAAAATGACTGCATTGTTTAAACACTCTCATCACGCACAATCAAACGCACCCACCCAGGCCCTATAACGTAATTACAAGTCAAGATGACGGATTAAAGAGACAAATATATTGCAGTTGCATGCACGTGGGTCTAGGTATGGAGCCACAGACGTGCATGCAAACGAAGATAGCCCGGCCCTCGCTCAAAGCCTGGAGAGGCTCTGGGGAAGCAACACCTGTGCGTGGTCCTGCCCCCGCTCCTCCAATAATCACAGGTTGTCCACGTGCGGTGCGAAAGAAGTTCAACAAACGTCCTCTACGCGTAGCGATTTCACTCTCAGACGGCTTCGTGGATCAATGGTCAAGAGCACGGAACTGGCACCGCCACATCCTGAGTTTGAATCCGCGCAGTGGCGCGTCAGTAAGACGGGTTTTGAGCAGCTGTACAGCAAGGAGGTTGCTGTCCTAGAATTTATTAAGGAATTTTTTAGTTTTTCACTCGGATGTGTGGGTTGGGTGGTTTTTTCCAGTGAGTCAAGTTTTTTCTCTTTCTCGTGTATGCTTTGAGAGATTTAGCCAATGTCCCAATGCATGACCCTCCTGAGATAGTCTACAGACAAGCGTGGGGGAATTGTTACTCTAAGCCAGCCCGGTCGCCAATGACAGCATGCAGGGAAGAACTTGAAGCAAGTGGCACTCTGAACCAGACACGCAACCTGACAGCGCTCACACCAAAGACAGCAGACCGCTGGCTCACCGTCTCCCATACAGCCACTCGCCGAACCCTTCCGAGTGGGATTACAGAAAAGCCCCAGGGCTTGAGCCCAGCTTCTTGGCAGCGCTGGCTCAGTGAACCATGACAGAGTCGTCGTGAAACCGTGAAGACGCCCACACCCCGAGCTGTTCTAGCGCGGCACCCAAGACACGGCGCACATCGTGAACCCCGCTAAAGTTCTGACAACACCGAGGCCTCGTCGGCGAACTCGCGCAGCCTCGGTCTCGCCTGAATTCACCGCCCGTGACGGATCCGATCCCCCGGCCGTGCGGTCAGGCAAGGCGGGGGCTCGCACCTCGGCGCACCCGTAACCCACCCGAGAAGCAGTCCGGGTAGATTGACTCGAGCGCTTCCAGCTCGTTCCTCTGCTCCTCCTCGTAGTCCATCGCGGTCGACTTCGCCCGCCTAGTCCCCCATAGGCCGTACAATCGCGGCGCGTGGAAGGGGGAAGGTGGTGGTGGTGTTGGTGGTGGTAGTGGTGGTGGTGGAGAGAGCGACACGTGGAGTCGACGCGCGATTGCTCGGGTCTGGCTCGGGTCTGGCTCGCGGCGTCGCGATCGCGCGATCGGCAATCTTTAAAGGGGCCGCGTGGCGCCGTGGGACATTCGCTGTGTGCTGTCGGTAACGCGCGAGGCAAGGGCGCGCCTCGACTTACGAACATTCGACTTACGAACATTCGACTTACGAACACTCGACTTACGAACTTTCAGAGATACGAACAAACCTGGTCCGTACGTCCAGGTTGCCTGTTCGGACCGAGAGTCGTAAGTTCAACCACCGCGCAATAGATGGCGGTGGTGGCATCAACGTTTGCTGAACGTGAAGAACCAGTGGCATCTACATCTCCAGAACGTGAAGAACCAGTGGCATCTACATCTGCAGAACGTGAAGAACCAGTGGCATCTACATCTCCAGAACATGAAGAACCAGTGGCATCTACATCTCCAGAACGTGAAGAACCAGTGGCATCTACATCTGCAGAACATGAAGAACCAGTGGCATCTACATCTCCAGAACGTGAAGAACCACTGGTATCTACATCTGCAGAACATGAAGAACCAGTGGCATCTACATATACAGAACGTGAAGAACCAGTGGCATCTACATCTGCAGAACATGAAGAACCAGTGGCATCAACATCTGCAGAACGTGAAAAACCAGTGGCATCTACATCTGCAGAACGTGAAGAACCAGTGGCATCTACATCTAGAGGAGAATATACAACTGTTAAAGCAATTCCCCGTGTTTAGTGCACATGCCGTACAACACGTTTGGAATCGACAGGAGTAAAGTTGGACTTACGAACAAATCGACTTACGAACAGACCCCTGGAACCGATCTCGTTCGTAAGTAGAGCAGTGCCTTACAACCAGTAGAACGTATACAATACATGGATATGAAGAGCTTGCAACCCACTGCTGGGTGAGGGCCTCCCCACGCTGTTTCGGTCACATTGGTGGCCCAGTGTGTTGTGAAGTGTGGTAGATCGACATCCAGCTGTACATGAATTAACAGAACACTTGGAACATTCGTCAATAACACTGTGTGGCCTTAAGCGTGAAACAAATTTCATAGGTGTTGTGTTGGTGTACAACATCGGACCCATCATCACTGAAGGTTTGTCAGAAGTTCGGCATAAACCAGCGGTGGCGAATATGGATCGCGAGCCACTGGTGGATGTCGGGAGAAATCAAAACAAACACGAACATCAGCACACAACGCAACAGCACAAGATTCATAAGAGGTTTTTTTTGGTTAGATCGCGTAGATATAAATGTGTCGTTAAACCCGCCACCACCCAACACAGACAATTAGTAAGGTTTGTCACGTAAACAGAACATGCCAATTCTTTACTAATTCTGTACCACCGGTGTGTTGGAGAGTAAATTCACAACATTTACAATCTGAGTACGACGTCTCGCCAGTAGTTACAACTAGCTTCATCAGGCGACAGCCAGATTTGTGGAGAAATCTTCCTGTTTCAGGATTGGTTACAGCTGATGGAAAATAAAATCCACGACTAAAAATGGTTACAATAAAGTCATAATTTCTACCAATAGATAGCGTTAGTACCTTTACATCTCTAGTACAATACTATATTATAGGGTTAAATCCAGATAATTGTTAGTCAAAGCTCTATGATCTGATGGACCACGGAGGCCGTTGAGATCCACCCCATTGGTGTATTGGCCATCACTGGCATTAAACCATCAATGACATAAACCAATGCATTGCCATTCACTGGTATAAACCATCAATGCATTGACCATCACTGGTATAAACTAAATGTGAATTAATGCTGTGTACAACGAACACAATTGCAAATTTCGATCAGTCTATTCTCACAATCCTCATCGACACAATACGCCGATAAGTGCCTCTGCATTCCTTTTTGAGCGATGCAGCTGACAGATGTGGAAAGATCTATGGCTAAGGATGAGCTGATTCTCTCTGTTGAGTTACGAGATTGATACTTTTCAATAAAACAGAAGGATAAAATCGGATTACTTTTCGGGAACCAATCGACAGCTCTAAATAAGGGCATCACGGTGGCTATGAGATGTTAACTACCTCGCCTGGTATACAGGAGGACGTCAGTTCGATCCCGAACCTGACGCCTGCTGTATATATATGTGTAGTTTGTCGTGTGAATTTTTCTCCGGGTCCTGCGGGTTTATCCCTCCACATTTAGAAACAAGCGTTTAGAGTATTATTGCTGACGTAAATTTCCACATAAGCCACTTCGTTTGGCTATCATTTGTGGCCAGGTCGCTTCTGAAAAAAGAGATATACAGCTCAGTGGGCTATACCTGGTAATTTTTTTTAAAGTTTACAACCATTTCAAAAGTCACGGACTGCGAAGTTTCAGTTTGGTGTTTTAACATCTTAACACATGTTTTGTTGCCAGAAAAAAGGGGAAAACCCTAATATCATATTTGGTACTGGCAAAGGAGGTCCCATGATGACTGCGATGAAGTTTAATTTAAAAATCCGCAACCTTCAGACTCTACTGCCGCCTAGCGTCTAAAAGAACGACAGTGAAATTACATTCTTGATTTAAAGTTTTCGTGACTGCAGGAATCCATACTCTTTGGTTCTTTCGGTAAAGTCAGGTAGGTATAAAATAAAATAAAGGTTAACCTTTTAAAACTAGTCTGCCTCAGCAGCAGACCACACTTTCCCACCTGATGACGGACGCTTGTGTTGCGCCCGAAACGTCGTGATCTATTTTATTTTATACCTACGTGACTTTACCGAAAGAACCAAAGAGTATGAAATTACATTCTTCGTGCCCGACATCACTTGGAGCCGAGATTTAGAGGCGCATTGATCCTTTTTTGGGGAACAATTTTTTGTTTGTTATATCACCATTAGCAGACATTCCGAATATTTCCGCCAAGGACATGTTACGAGGTGATGAAATGTTAGTACAGACCCTCTGAAAAGCGTCGCATCAGTCTTATACCTGTCAACCCATACGGGTTACCCGCATTCTTGTCAAGGGAATTGTAGTTTTCAGGTCCATAAGGCATACAGCCATTTCAATACGGGCAACATTGTTTTGTCTATTTGTTTGTGTTTTTCCCTTGTGATGGGACTTTGTAAGATGAACGTTGAGATTTATAAGGGCACGGGGTGACCAATACGGTCTGAATTAGTCTGTAATAATGTAGGGTATAAGGGGTTGACAGGTATGCAGTCTCACCTCCTAGGATCGCCACCGTTTCCACTGCAGACCCCAACCATATACGAGTTTTCAACCAGCACGGGGCCTGCTATTATCAGAACCGTGCGGTTCATGATAATGAAAGTTAAACACCGGTACCGGCACTCGGTAACGAAGCAATTCCTGCCGCCAGTCGAACGCCTGTGATATACGTACTCCGGGTCAAACCCCGAGAAGGTGGCAACCGCAGTCGGCCCATGGACGTGAATGGGTGAGGTGAGCGAGGGTTTGATTCTGTCCGGCATAAATCATTAAACATAATTGATCATTCATTCTGTCGGGCCTAAAGCATTACACACAATACATCATTCATTCTTTTCGTGCCTAAATCATTAAAATAATTTATAATTCATTAACATAATTGATCATTCATTCTGTCGAGCCTAAAGCATTACACACAATACATCATTCATTCTTTTCATGCCTAAATCATTAACATAATTTATAACCTATTAACATAATTTATAACTAATTCTGTCGCGGATTCATTGTATCCTCTGGTTCCAGCGCGCCATTGGTTGGAGCGCCGTAGGGGGGGGGCGGGGGGTCGGGCGCGTCTCGACCAATGGGAACGCGCGGCCGTGCGCGTGCGGGAGGCGGGGTATAAAAGGCTCCGGCGTCCCGCCCACGTGCCGGACGGAGCTCGCAGTCGGGGGGGTCGCGGCAGCCGCATCCTGCAGCCAGCAGCAAGCCAGCAGCAAGCCAGCAGCAAGCCAGCAGCAAGCCAGCAGCAAGCCAGCAGCAAGCCAGCAGCAAGCCAGCAGCAAGCCAGCAGCAAGCCAGCAGCAAGCCAGCAGCAAGCCAGCAGCAAGCCAGCAGCAAGCCAGCAGCAAGCCAGCAGCAAGCCAGCAGCAAGCCAGCAGCAAGCCAGCAGCAAGCCAGCAGCAAGCCAGCAGCAAGCCAGCAGCAAGCCAGCAGCAAGCCAGCAGCAAGCCAGCAGCAAGCCAGCAGCAAGCCAGCAGCAAGCCAGCAGCAAGCCAGCAGCAAGCCAGCAGCAAGCCAGCAGCAAGCCAGCAGCAAGCCAGCAGCAAGCCAGCAGCAAGCCAGCAGCAAGCCAGCAGCAAGCCAGCAGCAAGCCAGCAGCAAGCCAGCAGCAAGCCAGCAGCAAGCCAGCAGCAAGCCAGCAGCAAGCCAGCAGCAAGCCAGCAGCAGAATTATCTCCCAGGTATGCGGAAAGGTGTCTGCGAAACAACGAGGTCAAATATGTAACACAAACATATTTACGAAAATAATTACGCAATTTTATTTTTTCGTCTGTGTTAAAGTCAAACGTATTTGACTCGGTTGTGCGTTCGTCGAAATGAATGGGTAGTTGTATGCGAGGCCGTGTAAGTGCACTACGAACCTGGCGACCCGGGTTCGATTTCCGCTCACGGCCAATACCGGTGACGATTATCTGAACCGGTCCTGGGCCTCCCCTAGGTCGACTCGGCCTCAATGAGTACAAAGGCGGCCGGGCGTGGTGTTGGCCACCCCACCCCCCTCGTGTGCCGTGCAGGCCTTCATAGGCGCTGTCGCTACCGGCACTTGCTCCTACAGTCTGTTACAGGCTCTACGAGGTGTCTTTGTCTTTGGGGTTTTGTGTGTGTATATATTGTACCTCTTTCGCACCGGACGTAGCCCACCGTGCTAATCGGGGTGGGTGGGTGGATGGGGAAGATGCTGCATGCATTCATTCATTCGCTGCAGTGAACGGTGACCTCGACTCGTGCCTGGAGGCGCCGCCGTCACACTCTCGGCAGGTCCACCCAGGCGCGCTCCCCTCGGCGTGCGGTCGTGAACCATCGTCGGTCGCGGTGCATTCACGATTGTGGAGATCATTGTCCAGCCCGTGGCCGTCATGTTGGTGTGTTGCGTGGCCAGAGCAGGTCAAAGATGAGTGGCATAGGGGGAGGGCACACTGTATACTGTACTGTACACCACTCGCCACTGATGTTAGCCGTTGGTTGGCTATCAAATACAGTGCTGAGCAGTGCAGTCTATAAATACTGTACTGCCATGTGCAGTCTATATAGACTGCACATGCCATGTGCAGTCTATATAGACTGCACATGCCATGTACAGTCTATATAGACTGCACATGCCATGTACAGTCTATATAGACTGTACATGCCATGTGCAGTCTATAAATACTGTACTGCCATTAGACTGTACTGCCATTCTATAAATACTGTACTGCCATGTACAGCCTATAAATACTGTACTGCCACGTACAGTCTTTATTGACAGTCTATAAAGACTGTACTGTCATGCACAGTCTATATAGACAGTATGTATAGACTGTACTGCCATGTACAGTCTATATAGACAGTTTATATAGACTGTACTGCCATGTACAGTCTATATAGACTGTACTGTCATGTACAGTCTATATAGACAGTCTATATATATTGTACTGCCATGTACAGTCTATATAGACAGTCTATATATATTGTACTGCCATGTACAGTCTATATAGACAGTCTATATATATTGTACTGCCATGTACAGTCTATATAGACAGTCTATATAGACTGTACTGCCATGTACAGTCTATATATACAGTTTATATAGACTGTACTGCCATGTATAGTCTATATAGACTGTACTGCCACATCGTGCAGTCTATATAGACAGTCTATATATAGTGTACTGCCATGTACAGTCTATATAGACAGTCTATATATAGTGTACTGCCATGTACAGTCTATATAGACAGTCTATATAGACTGTACTGCCACAGCGTGCTGTGTTTCGCCTTTCTCGATCACCATCGTTGCCGAATGTCGTCCAACCAGTTATCCGACAAATGGAACAAAATACTCGAGTGTCCATTTCGTTATTTAACCCTTTAATTATCCACGTTTCGCAACTATCAAAGATATTTACCCAATGTATTTTCGATTTCCGGAAATATATCGAATTGCACTAACTTATTGACACCCGTGTATCCTCATAATTATCGCAGCAATAAATTAACTATTTTCTTAAAACGCATCCCCAATTCTCGACAGCATGAAAGTATCAATTCAAGAGATTATAAAAAAACACACGTTCAGTCACCGTGTATGATCAATATTGCCGCATGACAATGTTGTCGATGTCTCCACTGCTTTCTGCCTGACAAGCCCCCCCCCCCCACCCCCTAGACGTCCCAACGTTGGTCTGGTCAGAGAGGTCGCGACATCAAAATGTCTCCAGGCTGGCGGACAGAGAGAGACCCTTCCCGGGCAGCTGAACATTTCACAACCGCTCTAATTATTTTGGCGTGGTTTTAATGTCATACCTCTCACAGCCCCCTTATAAGGGGCCCTCCCTACCTCCTTACAGACCAATTCGGACCTTATTGGTCACCCCCGTGTCCCTTATACATCTCAACGTTCATCCTACAAAGTACCATCACAAGGGAGGGAGAAACACAAATAGACGACACATTTTGGTTGATGCCCGTATTGAAACGTCTGTGCGCCGTATGGGCCTGAGAACTAAATTTCTCTGTACAAGAATACGGGGTAAACCCTGTGCCGGATTATCCTTGTAGCACAAGTAGCATCATATGTAGACATAAAAATATATCTGACTACAGATATGCCATTAGTAATGGCTCAGAATGGACAACGTTATCCCTATACCATGTGTTTGAATGGAATGCACATTCATTACTTTTTGTGGGAGGAAAAAAAATGTTATTATGCTATTTGAGTAAGTTAAAACTTTACTGTGCGATTTGGGCATGAAATAATCTCGTTAATGACTGCAGTTGTCCACTTATCACTTGGCCATGCCACTGTAAGTGAATGACTGCATGGGTTCTGTAATTTGTAAATCAATGTTATATTTTTTTACTCGCGCGAGCTTATTTAACGAATGCAAGGGTCCGATGAAGAATAGATTTTTGGGTCCGATCGCTGCGTGATTGAAATTTCAATAGCGTGTCATGCCCCCTCCCTCTACCTGACGCAGCCAAAGAAGGTTGTCACGTGATGAACATGTGTGTGCCCGGTGGATTCTGACTCAAGCTGCAGCAACACCGGTGCACGTTGGAGAGCGAGCCACACACCCCTTTTAAGAAGTGTTGCGAAACGTCGTACTCTGATTGTAAATGTTGTGGCTTTGCTCGACAACACACTACCGGAGTTGCTGTACTACTAACAAATTGGTATGTTCCGTTTACGTGACAAACCTTACTAATTGGCTGTGTCGGGTGGTGGCGGATTTAACAACACATTTTTATTTACGCGATTGAACCCAAAAAGCCTGCATTATGGAAGTGTTATGTTCACGTGACAACTTTATTTCATTGGTCGTGTCGGGTGGAGGAGGGGCGGACAACGCAACGTTTTTACTGCCCAGTGAATATGACCCAAATAAAAAAAACATCAATTATAATTACGAATCATTACATTGGTCACGAAAGCCTGCGTGGTTAAATTTTAACACGAGCTTTAAACCTGTGGGTTGAGCTAAATTTTTTCCCCTTCTTATCTCGTCGTTAGATCGGCACATTTGTCACGAGGAATGGGATGCGGGTCCCTTTTTAGGGTTCAGTGACCCCGAAAGTCCAGTGCAGCAGCAAAGCAGAAGCGCTCTTGTTCTCGCTTTGTTACACATTGGTCTTCTAGCCGAGGATTGAGGAAATGCACCACGGACATTAACTTTAAAACCAGGACTGTTTAAAATCGGTTGTTCGTTTTTGCATTACCGGTAATCGCATGCAATACAAAACCCCGGTAAAGAACGCTAACTGGTGTGCCGCACATGTACAAATATCTAGCTATATATATATATGCACACACTCACATGTTTATGTTTTTGTTACTGAAAACCAAAGGTGTCTACTTTGGTGTGTTAGTTGGCATCCTGGAGTTGCAAAGCAAAATGCGTCTTCGATCTTCTGTCACGCCAGTGAAAGCATTGGGGAAGTTTTGTTTTAATATCCCCCACCTCTGCCCCCCCCCCCAGTAGTCTTATCGGCAAGTCATTGTGTGGTGGGGTAAAGTGTTAGTATTCCCATCCCGGTCAGCCTCGAAGAGTTGTTCTGAATACTGTGGAGAGAACTTTCGAGTGGATACAATTTCCTAAGCAGAGACATGAGTATTTAATTTGGCAATAGGTGTGTAAGCAGAGAGCAAAATGTGTTTGGTAGGTAGGAACAACTACATTGTACAGGCCTTTTGTTCAATCCACGGCTGAACGAGGGCCTCTCCACGTGTTACGGATCGCAGGGTTATTTAGAACATACTCACCACGCTGGTCAGTGCGGGTCAGAACAGGCTATGCAAACGTATAACAATGCAATGCCTGGTCCACAAATACGAATGAGACATCGCAGCGATGATGCACTACTCCGCTGCTCCTGACGCGGTTGTCTGGCTTGACCACCTGAATGTGAAATTGTCGTCGTTGCTCTACATCAGCTGTACGGAAGAAGAAGAGGGCGGATAGTATAAACTCGGGTGCATGGAAGTACAGGTCCGTACAACAATGGGTTTTGCCGCACTGCCCTTTGCTGCCCACCGTATCGCCCCACAGTAGCCTATGACAACCCGAAGCATTACGGGGTAAGTACATTGACACACGGGTAGAAGGCCAATAAAGTATGTAGGTACACAAATACGCTAGGAAGTATGTGGAAGGTGGGTAGAACGATCGACTATTGAACAGGGCGAGCACCCATGCTGGTGTAATGCGCGAGGTAGGTGAAGTCGTAGTTGAATTCAAATTAAGTCTAAAGTGACTGTTGGTCGTGGGATATAAGCAAAAGAAAAACATAATCGTCAATTAATGCTGCCTTTTATCATCAATACAGGGCAGGCTGCTGTTTCGGGAGATGGCCCTTGTCCAGAGTAGACATTAGTCATAATTTTGAATTCTAACGAGAATCGCACTTTACACTAGGGCGCTGAAAATGTCAAAGAAAGCTGTTACGTTAACGTTTCTTCTTCGGAACAAGAATAGTCGCAATAAAAAAAAACCCTTCCAAAAAGGTCAGCCAGAAACTGATGAAACAAAAAATATTATGTTAAAATTGAAAAACTACATCATGCTGTGCTGACTTAGCAGTATTCTGATTTAAAGGACATGGTGCTGACTTTGTGAGCAGCAGGGTTTTGAATTAGAGGTCATTTCACTGACAATAAGTGCAAGGCACAGACTTGCAGGGCATGCTGTGGACTTGAGGCATGGCTCTGATTTACAGGGCATGGTGCCGGGTTGGAAAGTATGGTGCTTGCTGAGAGCAGCATAACGGTTGCTTAGAGACGCGTGTGTGTGGTGTGTGCGCCGCGCATACATTTACGACACCTTTCAATGGATTTTTTTCTACACGACCCATCTTCTTCATAGTCGTTGTGCCAGGATCCGCTGCACGCTTGTGAGAGCGTCGCGAACCGACGCGTTGTGATACTCTTAACCAACGGTGCGGGACCGCCAGATGCGACCCATGGCTTAGTTCCACACAGTCCACCACCACATCATCGTCATAACCCCCGCACCTTCGATTAGCACGGTTGGCATACATACATTCATTATCCTGGCCAGCCCACAAACGACACTTATCCGTCACCGGCAAGCATTCTAACCACACGAATTGGGTTTGAGGGAGGAATGTATCCTTCCCGGCGCGAGAACACCGTCTTTGGAATTCACTTTACGGGGATGAAGCCGGCGACCTGATTTCTATTCCTGGCGACGGATAACATCGGCGGTGTGTGAACGATATCCTAATCGGTCCTCGCCCCCCCTCCCCTTCGCTAACGCGCAATGACCAGTGTGGTGAGGTGTACGGTCATCAACCTTCATCGAGGAGTGGACTGACAAATGCTCTAGATTACATTGCAGACGCTTCAGAATTGACCAAGGGCGAGAGTCAAAGTGTGGGCCCCCCTCCCAAAGGGGAGGGTGTTTTGAAAGTTCCGAAAAGAAAATGTTTCTCACCCCCTGGAGTCCACGGACGGGCACCCGCTGCTGCGTTGGCGTCGTTGTCGCAACTCGAGGGGATTCAAGCGGCGGCTGGCGAAGTTGTTTGGGGATAACGTAAACTCGCCACTGTGCCCGCACCACCGAGATCCCGCGATCAAATACAGGTTGCAATTAAATCGGCTTCTCAAGCGTGGCGAGTTCATTGTCGCTGCCTGGTTGGTCACCAAGAAAAGCTCGGTTAAGTTAAATTTGAGTTTGGACAATTTGGCGAAATCCGACTACGAATTACAAACTTTATTTTCGTAAGTTTTTTTTGTTAGGTCTCATAAATATAACTGTCGCTAAACCCACCAACAGAGTTTAACGACGCATTTATATTTACTTGATCTAACCCAAAAAAAACTCTAATAATTAATATTGGTCACGAAAGTCGACATGTATTTACAAACTTTGTTTTGTTAGTCATCGAATTAGCATTCTTTGCAGAGAATATACAAAAGATGTGCCTCCCGGGTGTGAACAGCTAATAAAGTGATTTTTTTAAAAGTAGTCCTGGGATAGTTGAACACGTAGGCTTTCGACCAATATCCATAATAGAGGTTTTTGGGTTATATCGCGCAAATATATAAATATGTCGTTAAACCCGCCACCTCCCGACACAGCCAACTAGTAAGGTTTGTCACGTAAACAGAACGTGCCAAACCGTCACTAGTACAGCACTAACGGTGTATTGGAGAGCAAAGCCACAACATGTACGATGTTTTGGCAGTAATTACAACCAGCTTCATCAGGTGACAGCCAGATTTGTGGAGAAGTCTTACTGTTTCGTTCCTTATATAGAGGCGTAGATGTGTTGACCACCCTTCTGCGCTCTTGCACAATGTGGGGGGGGGGGGGGGATTGCTGAGGCAATGTACATTATGCGAGCCCTTTGAACGTTAGATTATAAATTCCCCCCATATCTCGTGAAATCAGCTCGGGCAGATGAAGTACAATTACTGTAAGTTGCAGAAACATTAAACAAAAATGGGGGTGATTATATTATCATAATCAGAATATGTATTAATACTGGAGGAATCTGATGAGCTATAAAGCTCTTTCACAGATGTCGGGGCGGGTCAAAGTTACAACAGCAAACAATACAAAAACGCAATAGGGATACAAAGAATAGGAATGGTAATAAAGTCACTAAAAATGATTATAAATCAAGTATATAAGCACAAATTGGATGATGCTAATGGACAAGGATTTGTATGTATGTACAGTGGTCCATTTGTCTCCTGGCCAAAGTGGATGGGCATCAACTGGCTGTGCACATGGTCTGTGCCTCTCTTCGCCTCTCAATTATTTACAGATCGCCCCTCTCGTGCGCGGGATGCAGCGATGGTGTCCTGCGCGCACACGCTCTGACAAAGATCCACCGTGTAGCCTTAACAGACTGTTGGGGAAAGTGCTGAAAGCGAGCTCCAATGAAGGCCGGAACGGCACACGAGGGGGTGGGTAGCCAGTAACCACACAGGCCAGCTTTTTCTCCCTGGTGGTGATGTTTATGCGCCATACCAGGTAATCGTTTGAAGCCGAGGCAACGTAGGGGGACGCCCAGGACCGGTTTAGATAACCGTCGCTGGTGTTGGCCGTGAGCCGCAATCAAACTCGGGTCATCGGGTTCGTAGCGCAGTGCGCTAACCGCTACACCTACCACTCCCCTCCACTACCACGCACACACACGCACGCACACACACACCCGCGTACACAAACGCACCGCTGTTGACTCCTGTCGTGACCTGCTTGGGCGTATTGTGTGTGCGCGTGTTTCGTTTGCATGTTCATGCGTTTAAGGACATCTCTGGCGGTCGCGACGACAGAAGAAGCCATGGAGCTTGTGGGGGATCATCTGAAAGGCGCCGTGGCGTTCTACGAGTGGACTCTAACCTTCGCAGGTGCGTGCTTCCGTTGTTCCGGCTCGTGTTTCTCTGCCTGGTGACCGGTCTCCCGGAAATGCCCCCAGTCTCGTCCGATTATCGGTGTGTGTGGGTATTGTGACTCGTGTGCATGAAAACGGGCTGCTGTTAGGCTGCTGCTGCTGCTGCTGGGCAGGTGTGTGGGCGTCGGAGAATATTGTGGCGAAATACGTCGTTGTAGAGTGGCGATGTTGACTACCTCGCCGGGTATACAAGAGGCATGGGTTCAATCCCGACCCTGACGCCTGTATTTGCATGTTCTCCCCGTGGTCCCGTGGATTTTTCTCCAAGTCTTCCAAATTTGGCTGCCATAAATTTCCATATGATTATCAAGTTTGCTGGGCGATCATTTGTGGCCAGGTCGCTTCTGAAAAAGAGCTCGGTCGGCCTTACCCGGTTAAATAAAAAAAAACAATTTTTTGTCTATGCTCCCCCCGCCTTCAACCCGCGCCGACCAGCGCAATGCCATACGGTCAAATGGCCCTGCACGACCCACACGGCGCATCCAGGCTGCCGTCCAGCAGTGCGGTTGACGAGGGGGCTCCGTGCCTCGTGTGCCCGGGTTACATCGTGCGAGTTTGTGGCTTTCCTTACCTCTTGCTTGGCTCGGTTCTTGCCTGTGTGGCGATGTGAGTGGGGAGCGGTGGTGTCGCGGTTAGCGCCCTGCACTACCAACCCGGCGTCCCGAGTTCAATTCCCTCTCACGGCCCAACACCAGTGATAGCGATTATCTGATCCCGTCCTGGCCCTCTCCTAGGTCGACTCGACCTCAAATGAGTACCTGGTGCGGTTGTGTAAACATTGCCACCGGGGGAGACAAAGGCGGCCGGGTGTGGTGTTGGCCACCCCACCCACTTTGTGAGCCTTGCCGGCCTTCATAGGTGCTACTCGCTAACAGCACTTGCCCAAACAGTCTGTCAAGGCTATAAGGGGGATCTTTGTCTTTGGATGTCGTATCACCTGTGCAACGTTTCAGCCTGACAACGCTTTACTCAGTGATAGGGGTGGGGGGGAACTTTCCCTAGCATTTGCAAGCACAGTCCATCCTGGCAAAACAATTTGAACTACGAGTCCATCGCAAACGTTTCAGCATTTTTAAGGACTTGAAAGTTAATTGTGGGTTGTGACGTTAGACACCTTGTGACCTACTTTGGTCAAAGTCGTGATGAGGTTTGTTTCACGCAATTGCTTTGATATCGACGTCGCGAAGGTGGTAAAAGTAAAAAGAGCGGCCCTGCAATAGCCTTTGCCACTGCTGGTGCAACGTCCCCTCCACCAAAGTGAGCTCCATAGGGCATCTACAGAGTGCTGCTGTATCATTCGAGTGATGTAGGGGGCACCACAGTAATGTTCTCTCCAAAAATAACTTGTTGGAGGGACGCTGGGGAATCGATTTGTGTCAGAGCAGGAATTGGCGCAATGGTGAAATAGAGAGTGCAAGGGCAGGTTTGAGTGCGAATTAAATTGGATGCCAAAAACTGACATGCCAAACGTGCTGAGTAATAATAAAAAACACGCGAAAACATTTTATGAGACGCTTTCTAAGAGACAGAAAGAGAAGCAGCACCATGGATCAGAGAACGCATGCAAAAGAGGTCCATTGTATCCACGGTTAGGAAGAGTGTTTCAATGAGCTTGGAGCAAGACACCCGCACTTCCGGTTGGCTACGTACCGCGCGGAAGAAGTTCAGTGTACGTACACCGCGCGACGCAATTCTGACTGATGGCTGAGACTGATGATGGACTGAGTGTAACGCGTCCGAGAGGAGGATGCCCGCCGTGGAGATTGAACCCCACCTCTCTCTGGGCGTGCGTCTTCCTGTGCCCGCAGTCTTTCTCCTTTGGCACGACATGCCCCCACCTCTAGCCACCTGGTCTGAGATGAGATGCCACCGCTCTGGTCTTCTCTCTTGGCCTTCACTTCTGACCCTCTGCAGTCTTATGGTCCCTGCGTGGATCCGTTCTTATATTCCCGCGGTGCAAAACCTCTGCTCAAGTCCTCTGGATCAAAGAGTCGTGACATTCACACACCTCCGATTAGCACGGTGGGCTACGCAGGGTGGGAAACGAGTTCTATGTGCATACACCCGTTCGTCAATACTGGTCCTATTACATTCCCCTAGTGAGTTGGTGTGTGCGGTGTGCCCGTTTTATTATTATTATTACTTAGTTCAAGTTTCGACAGCTGCGGGGTTTTGCCTGCGCTTGCCTGTTTTAATATGCCCGTGACGTTGTTGTTGACCGGGCGTGCGCTTGTGCACCCGCCGTAAGCTTGCGCGCGACAAGGCGTGTGACTTTCACTGACAATGGTCCGAGAGAGGCTTCCCGGGCGGACGTTTGGATGCCGAAGTGGAGCCGCGTGCTTTGTGCGCGCCCCGCACGTGCAGTGACCTTGAGTTTCAAGCCGTTGTGAAACCTATGGAATGCAATCGATTTGTAATGTTTGCGCAGCACACCACTTGGAACACAGTATGCATCGTTATTGCATAAAGCAAACTGATGTGCAATGATAAACAATAAGCTCTGTCGATCACTTCATCGTCCTTTCAACCAGTTGACAAGTCCACTACCGAGTAATTGCCCCCAGCCCCCATGGAATAAGAGATAAAGAGTTGCGCTGACAAACTGCAAAGTGAGAATGAAGAAATTGTGCGTTGCCTGCATGCGCTCGTTTCGGATGTCTTCTCCGCCCTCTACATGTTCACACTTCGACTAACTACGAGCTGGGCCAAACCAGTTCATCACGGCGATTTGCCCGGGTTGGGATTGGTGTGGTTTTAGTTTTCTGGCGTCCGCAGTGGGGGAGATGGACGGCGGGTGACCAGGCGTGTCGCTTGTCGCACCCCACCGCCCCCTTCTGTGTGTACGTACGTATGTATGTACATACGCATGTTGAAATTCTTTCGCACCATACGTAGCCAACAGCGCTAATCGGAGGTGCCGTTCGCGTCTTGGAGCAAGGGCTGCTCATCCCCTTGGTCCCGAGGCTAAACCGAGAATCTCCGATGTGTAAATATGAGCCCTTGGTGGGGGGACAAAATAGTTGGTCGCGCCTCTACAAGCCCGTCGTGAGACAGGTTACGGGTAACCCACCACCACCCGCCCCCCTCGTTTCCCAGAGCCGGTGCACGTGCTCACTCGAGGCCAGCCCCTTCAGAAGCGGCCCGCGAACGACGTTGGTTGGCCAGCATCTCTTCGCAGAACTAATCGGGCGCTCGGTGTGAACGTTTCAGAGCATTTATTGCATTAGCTCTGTCCTTTTGCCCGACTGTCCGTCTAACGGAGGCACAGTTAATCCGTGAGAACTGGCCGAAATTTTGATGAAAGGATGGCCCAAACGCACGCTGGAAGGCGTCTCAGAATCCGTGTGTGCGAGTTTAATTTGCTTCTTCTTGGTTCTTTCGGTAAAGTCACGTAGAAATAATAAAATAATACTAATAAAATAATTATCACGACGTTTCGGGCCACAACGCAAGCAGCCGTCCTCAGGTGAAGAACAGGTCTGTCGAGAAGACAGAGTCAGAGCTTTAAATCGAAATTTAATTTGCTTGTTTGCGGTGAACGCTGATGACATTAATGAAACTGCCGGCGACTGCAACTTTGCCCTTCGGGCCAACTGAGACCAAGGAGCCATTTGCTAATCAAGAGGGAACACGGGGCAAGTGCGTGAGCGGATTTCGCTGCTCCTAAGTCCGCCGGGCTGTAATGGGGATGCAGATTAACCCGATCTCTCACTGTGTCGAGTGTCGCCAGCTTTTCAGACGACGGTGGGTAACGGGGGCTGCCCCCCCCCCCCCACCCCGAGTTGTGCAATCTCCGTTGGCAACCTGTGGCTCCGGAGCCGCAGAATTGGCAGAGGTCAAGGGAACCTTTTGTCTTTACCGAGGGCCATCTTGGGGACTATCAAACACCTTTTCGTGGTGGGCCACACATGAACACAGACCTCCATAATTTCCGGTAGAAGTGACAGTGCGATGACACTACAGACACCAACGCTGCCAGGTCCAAAATCGTTGCCCTCTGCGACCCGATTTTAGTGTGGCTTGGATGTTCGCAGCGATGGATAAATACTGTTTGCGGGCTTTTTTATTCTAAAGTCGTAGGCCTCGGTGTGGTCACGGGCCAGACTGTGAATGGAGTGGCGGGCCTTGTCTGGCCCCCCATGTACCACAAGAGGTTCCCCACCCCCTACCCTAAAGTGGGACTAGGGTTGGAATACATTGAATGGTCCAAATTGACCAACCACAAGGCCGAATTTATAAGAGCGGTCACCCGACTTGTTCGCTGGCAACCATGCTGACTTGTGCATCTGCCCCCTCCTCCTGGCTTAGCCTCGGTCCAATGTGTTCACAGCTCCGTGTTACTCCGGCCCCTGCCACCCACTACCCACTAGTTAAGCCTGCTTCTACTCTCTACTGACTTTGGAATTACTGTAATTTGATTATAAATTCTACATGCACGGTATGGCGCTTGTTTCAATCCACTGCTGGATGAGGGTCCCCCCTCCTCACCGTGCAGCAGAGGTCGCAACCGGGTACCCGGCTACCCGCTTACCCTACCTGATACCCGTACCCTACCCGGTACCCGATACCCGGCTACCCGCACCCTACCCGGTACCCGTACCCTACCCGATACCCGCACCCTACCCGGTACCCGCACCCTACCCGATACCCGTACCCTACCCGGTACCCGATACCCGTACCCTACCCGGTACCCGCTTACCCTACCCGATACCCGTACCCGATACCCGTACCCTACCCGATACCCGGCTACCTGTACCCGGCCGGGTACGGGTACCCGTTTGCGACCCTGGTGCGGCCGGGTACGGGTATGGGTAATGAACCAAAACCCGTTTGCAACCTCTGCTGTGCGGGGTCACGGTGCCCGCTTCACCGGGCTTTGTCGTGCCAGTCGTGCGTGGGTTGGCGAAGGCGGTGGGACGTAGACCGTGGATCATAGTACATCACAACGGTGCACTT